GCAGGCACTTCGGGTGACGACGGCCTCCATGGGGACTAGGTGACTCTGTAGTCTGTGTCTTCCTCCGTCTTGTCAGTGGAGTTCTGCAGAGAACAATGACGGTGGAGATTCAGGAAGTTTCCTCAACAAAAACAACTGGCGACTGTGCAACACGGCCACCGAATGAATGCTGGCTTCATCTGAAGTATTTACCTTCTTGCTCAGCTTTACCTTTGCTTTTCTTCGTCTATCTGTGAAAAAGACATGCAGACGTTTTTTTTAATTGTAACGTCAAGTGCACTTCACGTGGGAAACGATATAAAAGGCCATGGAAATGAAACTCCTCTCTCCTCTTTTCCTCACCTCGAGATTTCCCAGAAACAGGCAGCATCCTGAAGATACGCATGGCTTGTTGGCCTTTGTTGACGCTCTTGTCTTTCACCTCCTCAATGTCAGGTAGCGAGTTCATTGCGCAGCGGAAGTTGGCTTTCCATGTCTTGGGGTCGCAGGCCTGACCCTCAATGTATTTTCCTGAGTGAGGGATTTTCTTTTAGTTGCTAAATACTAAAACATTTCAATCCAAAACAGAGGAATAGTTCTTATTTGCAGCTGTGTGCGTGTAGACGTCTCACCTGTGTGAATGGCCCACTTTTTGAAAAGACAGGCATCTTTGTCCATCTCCCAGCCGTGTCGAGCTGCATGCTTCCATGGGATGGAGAACATGGTCCTCTCCTGGAAAATTAAAAAAAAAAAAGTTTGAGAAATCATGCATGAAACTGACTTTAACTGCGTGTTCTGAGCGGTGTGTTTTTATTATTATTATTATTTTGTGTAAATGATAATCTCACCTTGTCCATCCATGTCAGACCACTGATGCATTTGGAGTCGATCATCTTCTCCAGCCATGGCCTCATCCTCATTCTTGTTACAGGCATGTTTGTCTAAACAGTCGGAGGAGTGAAGGAAACGGTTTAGACAAACGGGGAATGTGAGTGTGAGTGTGTGTGTGTGTGTGTGTGTGCGTGCAGGGAGGCGTGTGGCATCATGACAACTGAGGCAGTTAACAACTAACTGCAAACAGTGAGGGAGGCTTGAATAATACAAAACAAAAGAACCTTAACCGTTCGTCAGATTCGAGACATTTTCAGCTAAAGTCTCCAACGCGCTCGGAGAAGACACCGCTGCGTTATTAAAACGCAGCGCGCGCATTTTCTTTAAAATAACAGTCTCCGTAATGCAATTGTGTCTGTGTCTGTGTAGTCTGTGCCGCCCTCCACATCCATACATAACACGATCACTGCGCACTAAGTTTTAAGCATGGTGTGCATCCGCATGTGAAGTAATAAACCTATGGATCAAATGTGTTTTTTTTGACCTATGGATCAAAAAATTACAAAAAAATAATTTACAATAAAAAAACAAATCGATACTTCTTAGTAATGCAACACAAGTAGCTTTATAATAATAGTAGTAATAATAATAATAATAGTTATTATCCAGGCACTTACATGCTTGGTTTTCTGTCCTTTGGAGAATCGGCACAGAAGGTAATCAAAGGGGTTTGATGTATTCCTCTCTCGGTCTTTGGTCTGTCTATTTGAAGACTGAAGTGATATCTACGCAGCTCTGTTTTTATACTGTTTTCTACGGCGGGTTTTCCCCGGGTGGAGCGTTGTCGGGGCGCGTAACACTGTAAAAAGTGCACGCGGACGCAGCGTTGTGCACAATAACATCCTTGACCTACACTAAAGTAACTCCCAGGTTCTCAAACAATACAGTTTTAGTCATGACAGTTTGTTGTTTTGTCCCAAAAAATGCCTAGAAGTAAAAATAATAAGATTTTAAACAGTGTTTAAAATCTTATTATTTTTTACAGTGTGCGGCGCACATGCGCATCTGTGCCGCTTTACTGCAAGAGGAGCATTTCCGAGAAGTCACGTTGCTGAGAGCAGGGAGGAAGTTAATGTCAATACAGGTTGTATACAAGTGTTTGGTGCACGTAGACGACCCTGACTCTTACGCTTTAAGTTCGCTTTGTTTTTATTGTGCATATCATACATCCACACCGCAGAAATTGCCGGATATGTCTCACATTGCTCATGCTGTGTTTGTGAGGTTTTGAATTAGAATAACGAGATACTGATTATAAAGTGGAAATATTTGTGCACAATTATTATTATTATTATATCGTTTTAATGTGAACGAGTTTAGTTTTTTGTTTGTTTGTTTAAACATTAATTTGCATATAAATGGAGAGCAGTCACACACTGTCACACGCTGGCAATCGTCTCGCATTCTTGCTGCGCTCAGAGCCAGGCACGATCACCCTGCACCGGACCTGCCCTTTGATATAAAATGAAACTTATCAGAGAAATGGAGCATTTACAAGAAATGGCGCAGTAATTTTCAGTCACCGATAGAAGGCGGTGTTGGGTAGACTGCAAAAGTAGGTCACATGAGTGAAGTGAACATCACCAGAAAAATACACAAGAGCCACCACAGCAGCTGCAGCAAGGGTGGAGTTTTTATTGTTGTTTGTATTATTATCATTACACGTTTGCATTGGTGAAGTACACAGAAGGTAGCACAGCATCGCGTTTCGCACCAGCAACAGAAACTTAGAGCGTACATGACCATTTCCGTGTTTTAAAAGTATAACGTGTTGAGTGAGGATGAGCGAAGTTAGGAATTTGGTCGTTTTATATACAGCAACAACAGTACCACGATACAGGGCAAGGAATAACTCCGCACTTTGGCTTTTTCCCGCCACCTGGTGACGTCATTAGAACACGGTGCTCTTTGATAATACATCCCTGAATAGACAATTGGCTTGATATCACAGCAATTGCACACGTGGTTCAATTGGAGGATAAACATAAAGGGTATATATATATATATATATATATGTATATATATACAAACACACACACAGCAGGGATGGTTTTGTTTGGTTGGAACAGCGAAACGTCAGAAACGTCATGAATATTAGTTTGGACAGTCTACAAACGACAAATGAACGTGGGAAAACTGCTGTGCGCCGCGTCATCGGTCTATTTATGGGGCTTCCCGATGCGCGGTGCCGCGTCCCCTCGCGGAGCGCGTGCCTGGCTAAGAGAAGTGTAAGGGAGTTTTCCTGTGGAGTTTTTTACCCGCCGTCAACCTGTGGGTTTTCCCATCTGAGGTAGAAATCTGGATTTGTAGGGGAATATCCTCTCGTTTTCCCAACGTGGTGGAAGCTGTACAGGCTCGCTCCCGAATGTTCTATGTGAAAAGCGGGAGGAAAAAAAAGAGGTAATTACCTGTTTTGAAATGTGCCCAACAGGACAACTATTAGCCCCACAGCAAATATTTATCTTTATATAAACCTAAATACACACCAAAATACCATTATGTCATTGTTATTCAAGGTAACATTAGCAGTTTTCGACAACAGATTCCCTGAGAGACATTGTTAAATTGATGTTATTGGTTCTTCAATTAGTTTAACCGATCACAAAATTAGGGCGTTGACTCCGAAAAAGTCTGCAAAAAGAGTTGCATTGTCAAAATGTGACAAACCAAATATGACTTCTTACCTGAAGGCAACACGGTACCATAGAGTACTCCATTAGACGTAGGAAAATTGGATGAAAGTGAAGTAGTTGTCACTGTGACGCAGCACGACATTTTACGCAACCAAATGTGATCGCTGCATTTTACCCATTACCCAAGATTTTGTCATGTCATAATGGAGGATTAAGTGTTGTTACATTTTGTTACATCATCTCCCATTTAGCTGTTTTTTGTTCTGTTTTTTTTTTTGCAGGATAATGCACTGGGCTGATCACTGAGCACAACTCCACTGAGAATTATAGATCTTGATTGGCCCTCCAAGGTCAACCAGTCATTTGTTCACATTTGTGCTTGACAGCAAATCCAATGGAAAACGCAGGTTACTGTGGATCTTCCTGAACACCTCCAAAGATCTAGTGGAGTCCATGCCTTGTTCGTGCGGGGCTTGAGGCTAGTACAATATTAGCCAGGTGGTCGGCTCTACTCTATTTTTTTTTTTTTTTGTCTAATCTACGTACACCTAAAGATTTGAAAGTTTTCACTACTTGCTACCTTAAAGAATAAGACGGAAACGTCAGGGTTTGACAGAAGACAAGGTGTTGTTGTTTCCCCTCTTTCTCTGGACCAGGGGTGTCAAACTCAAACTCACAGTGGGCCAAAATTAAAAACTGGGACCAGGTCACCATCCAAACTTAATATTTATTGAAAAAGTGATGGCAGTTGTGCATGTTTTCCCGTCTCTCCAGATCTGTAATGTAGAATTGGCATGTTTTCCTGTCTCTCCAGATCTGTAATGTAGAATTGTTTCATATGGAAACAAACTTTAGTTTTGTGTAAACACTCAATCTGGAACAACCAAAGCTTTACATTATAAACACAACACAGAAATTAAATTTGAAATCATTTTTTCGAGATCCTTTTTAATGTCAATCTTTTCTTCACAGGCCAAAATTTAATTTTTTTTTTAAAAATGATGCGCTATAACATAGCTCATACACCGCTTATACTACAAATCCAGTCAGTATATAGGTGCTATATACTGGTGGGCCCACTCTAGTACACATTTGATATGATCTCGCGGGCCAAATATAATTACACCGTGGGCTAGTTTTGAGTTTGACACGTGGATCAAATCAAATCCCTTGTTTTTTGCCTAGAGGAAAATAGTGTTATTATTTATAATAAGCCTTTGGACTTTCGACTGTGTATACACATTTTACCACTGTTTTTAGTCTACCAATGTAAATTAATTATCACATGTATATACTTTGACATTCTTTGTGTATTTCAACAGCAACTGTCCAACACTTTGGGTCGGTAGTCTTTATCAACGCTACACTTGTAGCCCCTACTGGTTCTAATTCTTGTATGTAATGACTCATTTCTAGCTTTTTGGATAACTATTGTTGGCTTTTTTTATCTCTAATATAAACATTATCTTGTCAGCAGAAACTTTTTTTTTATTTGCAATTTGTCTAGTTTTGAAAAAGACTGTGTTTTGTTTTTTGAATTTAGAGAAGTACCTACGTCATTTTAGGGAAAATGTCTTATTATGTGTTTCTTGTTTTTCTGACTTCAAACCCATCAAAACAAACTATGTGAGTAGCATCATATCAGTCTAAAACGAGTTAGCACCAAAATAATCCAAAAAAGAAATTGTGTTTTTAAGTGTGTACATCCCAGGTACAAGAAGGACCAGAAGAAGAATGTACAGAAAGTGATGCTAAGATCATTTGGAAACCGTTGGTTCTAGATCGCTCTGCTCTGTAAGATATAAAGGTAAGTTGATGTTCTCCAGGTAAGAATGTTGAAGCCACAGTGCTCTAATGCATTTTTGTTTTTAGTGGAACAAAAGACAATCAAAGGCCATCACAGGTACACTAGATCAAAGCAAGATTAAAGAACAACCTCCATTTACCAGTTAAACCTAAAGAAGTTGACTATTTTTATGTCTACAGGCTGCAGTTGACGTCTAAGGACGTCAAAGAGGAGCTGGTCGTTTAAGGTGAACACCTTTACATTTTTTTAAATGCCTAATTTAAATTAAGTTGAATGTCAGCAGAATTAGTGGAGCCCTCTCTTAAAATACAGTGTGTTCAGTTTCAATTAAAACTGTAGACATGACCTTTTTTCTATTATTATCAATGTTCATTAAATGTAATATAAATTCAAACAAAACTGGGGCAAGATAATGAGGTGTGGCACGATCGTTTTAGCAACTACTGATTTTTTTTAAATGTACTTACTTCATGGCCCTGTTGTTAGAGGTCAAAATATATACTTTCAAAATAAAGAAAACAAAATATAATGTGACAGAGTTGCGATATAACTTCGACGATCACGGTGAATGCCCAGTTTTATGTTGTTTTTCATAGACACAGACCTGCGCAGCGGTGTTTCCAGGTTTGTGTTGCGTTGCTCTTGTGAAGATATTTTGAGCATGTTTGAAAGTCAAATTTGTACCTTGCGTTATTGCTTTGAATTGCTGGACTGAAAACATCCGTGTCATTCATTATTACAGAACTGTAAAACGTGTTAAAATCAACCGAAGTCCAAAAAAAAAAAGAAATGTAACAAATGTAAGGGTAAGACTGTAGAATATACCTATATACAGTATAATTTCTACGTCCCTATACGTCAGCTTCCCCTCCTCATCCGCTCCGACACTTATCAGCCCATCTCAAGGTTACTCGAGTTCATTGGGCGTGTCCTGTTGTACCACGTGATCTTCATGCAAAATTACCCTGTGTCAACTCTGTAACGTGTAGGCTGTATTGTGATGTTCTAAAGGGCCACCTCACCTTATGTTAAGGTTTTTTATTATCATTATTTTGATAATCATGCAGTGTAAAAAAATATTCTAAGGATAATATACCAAGGACAATCACTTGGGAATTTTCTGATAAAACGTTTACAAATAAAAATGACATCAATTATAATAGCAATGTATAATCATTCCCAATAACCTTGGTGGGTCAGTGCACCGTCGCCTGTCAGCAGCCAACTAGGTGAAGGTGGAATGGCGGATGCTTCAGTGACCCCCCTCAGAGGGCTGTTTCTTTAGTTAACACATTCCGTATGTTTTTCAGGCGAAAGCTGCACATTTAAACCCGGCAGGACGCCGCCAGCCCCCACTCAGATAGGTCTCCCTCTGTGGTGTGTGGTCGCAGATACAGTGTCACCCCCCTCCTTCCATCTCTTCTGCCTCCCTCCCTCCCTCCATCCCTTAATCTCCCGGATTGCCGGCAACTTGCTGCAGTAGATGCTGCGGTTGTGAGCCGCTCCTGCACCGGGACATCTGACTCAATGATAAAGAAATGCTCGCATTCGTTTTGGTCTCTGGGTCGCTCTGGATTATATTAGGTGAGTGAATATATATATATATTTTATATGCAATCCTCTTCCTGGATTGAGCGCTGGTTTACGGCTTAAGGGCGATGCACCTGTCCCAGGGAGTTAGACGCATTGTGGGCCATTCATTACCGGCTTCTTTGCTTTATTTACCGAGGGCTGCGGTGTCGGCGGAGATGGTCCTCCGTGTACTAATGTCCTGCTGTTGGTGCATGTGCATATTTCATATAATAATACAGTTTATTTGCGAAACGATGCAGACGAGAAAAAGCCATATGAATTGTATGTATGACGCCCAGCGTTTTTTGGAGGAGCTACATTTTGCAACGATTTCTACTTGGTTCATCCTCTTATCGGCTCCTGAGTGTTCAAACATGCGGCTGAACTTGTTCATTTTCGCAGTCAGATTCAAACTGTATTTTTCATCCATTCATGAATTCATTCAAATTTAAGTACTAAAAGGAAATGCCTGTCTGACTTTAATGCCAAACGTATGTAACAGAGGCCGGCCTGATGCTAAGGTCGTGTGACATTGTGCGTAGCAACCGGCCGCACGTCATTCATCGCAACCACTATAACGCACACGTCCTTCAACGCTGTGTGTGTCTTTTTCTACACAATAAGCTGCTGCGCTGTATTCACTTTAAATGCGCAAAAACCCTCGGGGATTTTATTTCCCATAATGCCCAAATACTCTGCATTCTCCCTGCTACAGTATGTCCTCCAGTTCCTCCGCCATGCCTCAGTGATGGAGGATGGGGGAGGAAGAGCAGGATGACGCGCCTCGTGTAAAACGCGGCTGATTGGCCGGAGCTGTCCAACAGAGAGGTGGTGCTGAAAGTCCTGCGGCCTACCGGCAAACGGGAGAACACGCCGTGCTCTGCTGTAAGCGACACCGCCGCCAGCACCGGCTTACAAGGCGATTTTACAGGCGTCGACACGCATCTGCCAAGGCTGCGTTTTACAGCAGTAATGGAACACAATTGAATGCGCCACTGTGAGAGGCGGAGAAAGGGTTTTGGTTTCAAGGTTTGTTCTGCAGGCTTTCAGCAACAGCTGCTGCTGCTGCGCCGCATGGTTGCTATGTGACGAACGACCACAAGCCAAGCAGGGGGCCGGGAGGTGGGGGTGGGGGTTTGGTCGGCTCATGAATATTAACTTTTGCCAGGTACAGTGTTGCAGGTGTTGCATAGTTAATGATGGCTAGTATAGGCAGTCAGAATTGATCAGCAACAAAGTCTAGTGGCAGCAGGACTTTAACCATAGGATTTCATTTCATTTGTGATGAATGACTGTAACAGGGCATATTGTGTTGGTGAAAGGCAACATTTTACACACAGCCTACATACCGTTCTCTCGAAGTGTAATCAGTAAGGTCAGCTGCCCTGGGTGCTTTCAGTCCTACATACCATGCAGCTGCAGATGAGTGTCTCTATGCTGGTTCAGCATGTAGTACATCCTGTACTGGTCAGTAATGGTAATGTAGTTAACATTGTCACACTATGAATAATATTTCCATTGTCGAATCCACCTTAACACCTAATTTGGTAGTCAAATCCGGCAGGGAGTAGCCACATGTAAATGTGAAGATATAAAGTCAGTCTATTGTACAAACAGTTAAATAATATGTGGTTAAAAAATATATAATATATAAATGAACATAATGTGAAGGTTATAAGAAGAGCAGAAGTAGAAATAGGTGATGAAGTCAGGTGAAAAGAGAAAGGAGCCTGTATATGTGTGTGTGTATGTATGAGTGGGTGGGTGCATGGAGGGAGGGAGGGAGGGAGGGAGGGAGGGAGGGAGGGAGGGAGGGAGGGAGGGAGGGAGGGAGGGAGGGAGGGAGGGAGGGAGGGAGGGAGGGAGGGAGGGAGGGAGGGAGGGAGGGAGGGAGGGAGGGAGGGAGGGAGGGAGGGAGGGAGGGAGGGAGGGAGGGAGGGAGGGAGGGAGGGAGGGAGGGAGGGAGGGAGGGAGGGAGGGAGGGAGGGAGGGAGGGAGGGAGGGAGGGAGGGAGGGAGGGAGGGAGGGAGGGAGGGAGGGAGGGAGGGAGGGAGGGAGGGAGGGAGGGAGGGAGGGAGGGAGGGAGGGAGGGAGGGAGGGAGGGAGGGAGGGAGGGAGGGAGGGAGGGAGGGAGGGAGGGAGGGAGGGAGGGAGGGAGGGAGGGAGGGAGGGAGGGAGGGAGGGAGGGAGGGAGGGAGGGAGGGAGGGAGGGAGGGAGGGAGGGAGGGAGGGAGGGAGGGAGGGAGGGAGGGAGGGAGGGAGGGAGGGAGGGAGGGAGGGAGGGAGGGAGGGAGGGAGGGAGGGAGGGAGGGAGGGAGGGAGGGAGGGAGGGAGGGAGGGAGGGAGGGAGGGAGGGAGGGAGGGAGGGAGGGAGGGAGGGAGGGAGGGAGGGAGGGAGGGAGGGAGGGAGGGAGGGAGGGAGGGAGGGAGGGAGGGAGGGAGGGAGGGAGGGAGGGAGGGAGGGAGGGAGGGAGGGAGGGAGGGAGGGAGGGAGGGAGGGAGGGAGGGAGGGAGGGAGGGAGGGAGGGAGGGAGGGAGGGAGGGAGGGAGGGAGGGAGGGAGGGAGGGAGGGAGGGAGGGAGGGAGGGAGGGAGGGAGGGAGGGAGGGAGGGAGGGAGGGAGGGAGGGAGGGAGGGAGGGAGGGAGGGAGGGAGGGAGGGAGGGAGGGAGGGAGGGAGGGAGGGAGGGAGGGAGGGAGGGAGGGAGGGAGGGAGGGAGGGAGGGAGGGAGGGAGGGAGGGAGGGAGGGAGGGAGGGAGGGAGGGAGGGAGGGAGGGAGGGAGGGAGGGAGGGAGGGAGGGAGGGAGGGAGGGAGGGAGGGAGGGAGGGAGGGAGGGAGGGAGTCAGAGTGGGTGTGGTGAGCGTCTGCCTAACGTCTGTCGCGCTGATAGTGGTGTGATACGGTGGCCACTCAGGCTCAAGCTTGGCCCAAACGCTTCTCCTATTGCTTACCTCAGCTTAACAGCGGAGGGGAAGGTAATCGGTAGATTGCAGTGATGAGGTGATGCGATATCCTGCCTAAGGGCTTTTGAGTCACTCCACACCTACACACACAGACACACCACTCTGGCTCGCCGGGCCGCCTCTGACGCCTTTGTGAGTGCTGCCTTCCTAGACCACAGCTGCTTTGACCCATCTGCTGTACAATGCTGTCTGATTTGCCTCCCACCAGCCTTTCACCGAACTGTACTGCGTTTACTCTCTCTTGAATTTTGCGTCTTTTCACCAGTTAAAGCACGGTGCATTTCCGACAGCTTGTGTGATTTATTTTATCAATGACACCACCATCAGTGGTTTGTGCATGATTGTGAGAGCCGTAGCGTGTCGGTGGCTGAAATGTTGTTCCCTAGTAACGACAAGTGATGAAGAGATGCTTTTTATAGCAGTGGAGAAGGTTGATAGTTTTCAAGTGATGTGCTGGGGTAATAAAACCATAGAAGGATGACAACAAAGAAGCAAAGATTATTGTAAAAAATATACATGAAATTGAATGAAAGCCCCAAATACAGTGTCCTTAAATTGAAAGCAGTAGTGAGGTTACCACTGGTCATCTGTCTCTGTGCTAATAGGGTATAATCTTTCCGGGCTGGACTCTAATCATTTGTGACGTTCCTCGGATGGGCCGATGGGGCGGGACTTAAGGTTGCCTTTGCACTACTTTAAGCCTCTGGGGTCACAGAAGCAGTTGAAGGGCTTTTTACAGGCTGTCATGCTGTGTCTGCACAAAAAGGAGAAACGTTGCTGTAGGAATCCTGTTCTGGTGTTATTATTATTATTTTCTTAAATAAATATATTCTACATAAGCTAGAATCCACAATATTGGGCTGTAAAGACATTCACTTGTGATGAGTTCATTTTCAGTGCTAATGTATTGCTTATAATACAGCATGTTCTTTAAACAGCTGGGTTATTTTGAATAATGCTTAGGCAAAAATGCAAAAATTCCGTTCATGTCCAAAATTTAGACTCAAATGTTGATTTCGAGTCGATTTTTGTGCACGTTTTAGAACATTTTCTCACAAACCCAAATTCTCTTTATTTGCAACTTTTTAACATCTGTATCAGGGATGTCAAACATACGGCTCGCAGGCCACAAACAGCCCGCTAGGGGGTTCAATCCGGCCCACTAGATGAATTTTGAAAGTGAAAACACTTCGATGTTTTGTCCAATTTTATTTCTTTAAATATGAATATTTTCTAATATATTTGTACTTATTTGCAGGAAAACAAAGGGGGGAAACATGAACTTGTTGTTATTCATAGGTGATTATGTTGTGATTGTACTTGGCATCTGATCAGGCTGTATGTGGCCCCGGAACCAAAATTCCGTTGTCATTTCCATTCTTTATTTCCATTTTCGAGCATTGCACCCACACGTTATCACAGATGGTATCGCTGAATATCTGTGGTGAAGTCCCAGTAAATTAGCAACCGAAAGCTTTTTATTAAGTGGCTTCAGAAAGATGATCTGTCCCAGTGGATCTTCATACCGCTGCTTAGTTCACAGACATTCAAAGAGAACACATTTGTAAAACGGTGCATGGTGTCAAACTGAGGGTTGGGGATAAGAGGAAAGAAAAAACGCCGTTGTTAATTTAACACCTCTTCTCTGATCATCAGGTCTATTTGCTGCTGCTCATATGCCAATGCGTCTTCTGTCAATAGTTAAAGCATCTCCTGTGCACAGCGGACCTACAGCTGAAGTCCATATTAACGACCACAGACACCAGTTAACTGTGAAGTCATTTAGAAGACCCATTAGCTAATTGCCCGAGCTGTTAATGCTGCAGTTTTTTTCCCCCTGCAGGAGCGGCAATACTCACTCAGTATTAATGGTGTCATGTACTTGTCATTTCACATGTTAAATGCAGAGGTCACTAAGTTCTCATTATGACAAAGGTCATCCCTGCTGTTCTTCTTCTGCAGCTGAGACAACAGCCTTTGGAGAAGACTGAAGGAAGGAGGGTTGCGGGGGGGAGGGGCTTGACCCTGTGTCTCAGGCGATGTACTTGGGTTACCATAGGACAAAAGTAAGAGTAAGGGATGAGGACTTATCTGACTTGAGATTAATATTTTATTGTTTCCATAAATTATAAATTGAACAGTAAATATTGATCTCTCTGACAGTAGGCCCTTAATGTCTAGAAGGAACGCAGTATTGGCAGAGACACACAGTTTAAGTCTGTACCTTTCAAATATAGACGACAAAAGGGAAAATAACTATTCGGCCGAAGGTTTAAAAGTTGTGATCGTCCGGTGAAAATTCCATCCATCCATCCATCGATTTTCATCCGCTTATCCGTTACTGGGTCGCGGGGGCAACAGTCGCCCCCCAAATCACACTGCACCGTACCAACCCCCCTGAACCTTCCTGCAGGTGGTGAGTCCACTGGAAGGTACCAACCTCCCTAACCAGGATTCGATCTTGCCCAGGAGGTGAACCCTGGGGTTCAACACCAATGACAGAGACATTGCCTCTGGGCAAAAGTGCCACCTGGTGAATTTTCTTACATTGAATATTTAAGTTGTGTATCAGTTTGTGGCAGTTAGCAGATTGGCATCAAAGTGAATTGTAATAATAATTAATAATACAGTGGGCGGACAGGAGCATGTCAGGGGTCAAGGTCAATGACTGTCGCCATGGCAACGTTGGTGTTCACCAACTGCTAAACTGCATTAATTACAGCTGTCAATCACATGTGGTGGCCAATCCAATTCACTCTTTAACTCTCTGTCAGATGATTGATTTCATTGTTAGACATTTGACGAACAGTTAGCCTCATGTTACATGGATTTACGTGCGCACGTCATCGCCAGTGGAACCCGTGGGTTGCTGTTAACCCGCCTCGGTGGCTCCACAGTTTTATTCAATCGGGTCAGGATCAGTACAAGTTCCACCTTTGATTGGCTGGCAACTGATTGCACTCGTACTCGTGGTATGTTGTCAGTTTCGAAATCGGCCTCTAAAATGGGTCACGGCCCATTGAGCTGATTAAGCTAATTGATCCAGACGCTTTCTTGACCCGGCAAGATGGTGAAGGAAATGTTGTTCACATGACGTACATACAGTAGTTCAGGTGGAAGTAGGCAGATGGAAATTGTCTTTTTCTTGTGTGTCTTTTGTGTCATAAAGGAGAGGCCAATGGGAAGAAGTGGAACAAAAACAACAAAAAATGTTATCAGTCGGGCTTTTTTGCATCTCTCCTGGAGTCTGGTGTCTCACAAGCTGCCAGTCGCCTGCTGCTGAATTTCTATTTAATTTTAATCAAAAGCATGTAACATGTTCCTGCAAAAGATGACCACCATACAACAGGTCAGATCAGGCTATGTTTTGGAGGAAGTTGACGTAGTAGTGTGCTGGGTTACAGTTTTGTTTATGATCTGGCTAGCTTTTCAGCTAGCTGAGTGAGTGAGTGAGTGAGTGTGAGAAAGTTGTCTATCTAAGACAATATAATAATATGCACAGAAGTAGGTGGAAAGTTAATATAATAATATGCACAGAAGTAGGTGGAGCGTCCGATGGCTAAGGAAGCCGCTTGACTGAGCTTGCACAAAGGCTGTGAGACCACTGCTGCTCTCACTTCCATAAACACCTCCAGGAAGCCTGATTTTATACAGTATCATCTGGTAGTTTCGGACGTGTGTCGTGTTTCTCACTTTTCCCCCTGAGCTCACGGTGAGCCGTACACTCGGGGGTTACAGGAATGGTAGATTGGGGGCAGGAGAAAATGAGGAACTGCACAGTCACTATTGTAGAAAGACACAAAGGAGTAAGGTCAAAGGTCGGGGTGGACTCTTGTATAACACACAGTTGCTCTTTAGACGTACTGCAGGCAATTTGATGTTTTGTGCTCTGTTCACACACTGTAAGAGGAACAAGCTCTGCCCACTTCCTGTCTTCATTTTTTTTTCTAAGTGCTGTCAGAGCTAAAAGTCATGAGGGGGATGTGATCTCGTGATGTGTGAATGACAGGTCTTTTGTAAACATTTGACTGTACCGGTTTTACACAGTCACACAGGAAATTTTCCTTTTTATTATTTTTTTTTACCCTGTATTTGGTGTCAGGTGACAGTTAACTGGTGAGTCATGTGATGTTAAACACTTGCCGAAATCAAGTATCATGGGAAACACTGTATGGGAACTAAAAACCTAACCTAACTTGGATAGAGAGTGTGAGACAAACACTTTTTTAGAGTAGAATCATTTTAAAAAAATGCTTTTCCCGCTTTAGCCACGTGTGTTTTTCCGGATATCTCCAATCTTCAGTAGTGCAGTGTATGACATTTTTTTGTGACTAAATTAGTGATGTAACATGCAACCACAACTATTTCTATCAAAATAGCATATTTACTATTAAATATAACAAACAAACAGTGCCATTGTGTTATTTTGCTGGAAATTTAGCATGACATAATTTAAATTTGATTTTTGGGAAAAAAAATCTAAAGTACTAGAGTACATCTTCCTTCCTATCTGCTATTTACTGTCTGATTACAGTATTACTGTCTGTCTAAACGACAGAGACACAGGTTCAGAACCCTACGTCTATATTGACGTACTGTCTGTGACATCAAGACAAACGTTGTCTGGAAGGGAACCAACATCCCTTACTGTACCTTCATAACCACAGCAACATGCAGAATTGTTTTGTTTTGTTTAACGTGTCATTATCCCCTCCCATCTATCCGCTCCTGGCCCGCCAATTTTAGAACCCATTGTGCCCCCCACGATGGTCTGAAAGTTTATTTGAGTCTGTAGAGAAGTTGACTCACTCTTTCAAGGTGGTTAGCCTCAAGTGCTATTGTTTAATCTCTAACCACATGTTGTACCACATGTATTTTCCACAGGCAGTTCACATTTGAAGCAAGTATTCAGTTTTATTACAGTGTCAAAGATGGTTATTTTTGTATTCTGTATGTACATTGCTGTATATTGTATTGATCAGTGGTCTCCAACCACCAATGACATCTCTTAACTGTTTTCATAAAAAGATAATCTGTCAATGTTTCAAAACAACAGGTCATTCAGACTCTGATACTAACAGAATAAAGTCTAAAACATGTTTTATTTTGAAAGTTTAATGATCTAATGATGGTGTGGTATTACCGGTCAGCAGTAACTGGTGATACCGGCCGACCGGTCCTTGGTACAAAGAGGTTGGGGACCGCTGCTATAGATGTTTCATTCAGTGCTTCTGTACGTCTTGTCACACTTCCTAACTCCATTACCCATCCTCCCTTTCTCCCTCTCCAGAGCTTAGCTCCACACTGATGGAGAAGATGCAGGCCCAGGAGATGATGAGTGGCCTGAGGATACCAGAGATCAATGACATTGGCCAGTTCTTCAGCTCCCTGCCGACCTCCACACTGGTGGGCATCGGTGCTCTGACGGCTGTGCTGGCATACTGGCTGGCCACCAGACCCCGCCCCATTACACCACCCTGCAACCTGCTGCACCAGTCTGAGGAAGTGCCCGTAAGACACACACACACACACCCAATCACCCCTTATACACATAACTAAAAGTCGTTTTGGACAACAGTGAGGGTTCTGCACTATTTCCCATGCGTTGAGATGATCACTCTGTAAACAGAACTTTGGTTCTTTTTAGCTGCCAGGGTTCATCGTAGGGAGACTGGGACAGGCTCAGCAAGGGTCAGGGTACATCAATAAGGGTGATGAGTAAAGAAAGTACTTTTATTGAGTTGTGTTGCAGTAATCCACAGTTAAGGTCAAACAAAGACGAAACTTATTTGAAACTTATTGTAAAATTCTATACAGTATATAATATATATATATATAGAAATTCTAGATCCTGAAAATATTGGTATGTGTCCCAGACTATGTGCCCCCAGAAATCATCATGACAAATTTTCGACCCCAGTTGCTGAATGATGACAACTCATGCAGTAGAACTAGTACACGCTACTGTAGTAAATGCAGTACATAGTTTATTCCTTTCCTTTTAGTGCTAAAGCTACTGACTTGATCCCCCATTAGAAAGACAGGAAATTCAATTGGTTTTAAATGTTAAATAATATTACCAGCTTGGTTTTTGATTTTGTTTCTAATTGTGTTGGAATTGAGAGCAAGATTAAGCTCTGAAAACCAGCTCAATTGAACCCAATTTGTCATGCCCGTCATAAATAATAAATACACCAGTGAACAGACACACACACAGTCATACAGTCGTGAGTGCGCTTTTTCTTATTAACTCAGTCGTGCTGATTCAGCAGCCATGACAAACATTACGTTGACCTCGGTATTCAAGAAGTCTGTATCATCTTCCTGCTGTGACTGAAGCTGCTGTCGCACCAGAGGCAGGAATCCCTGGGTCATTCTTCAGCTTTTCCTGAAATATTAATGATGTTTTTAAGGTCACCTGATTCACTTGGAGGATAAGACAGCTCACATTTATGATGATTGTCACAAACTGAGTTGTTGTTTTTTTTTAAAAAAAAAGAAAAGAAAGAAAATAGAAAAATCTGTGGGATTTTATACTTATTTTATACTGGTCTGAGGCAAAAATGAAAAAAAAGGACAGATCATATGACCAATATGTTGTTAAATTGGTCATCTGATCTGTCCTTCTTCCTTTTAACAGCAGGATTCAAAAATCAAGATTCAAGATTCCTTTATTTGTTACACGTCACATGTACAAGTACCTGGAAAGTGGGAAAAAAAATTGCAAACAACCCAAAATGTCCAAAGTGAGAGAAAACAAAGCAAAAAACATAAATAAAACAAAGAGCAGCTTTGAATGGAAGTGGAATTCAATTCAATTCAATTGAATTCAGTTGAGTTGAATAAAATTAAATAAAAATTTAATTAATTTAATTAATTTTACATTTTAAATTAATTTTAATTGTTTAATTTAATGTCATTTAATTTAATCATCCATAGGTTATCATTTCAGTAGTTATGACGAACTGAGTTAATTTCAGGTAGACAGAAAGGCAGGCTACACCCACGACATTTCTTCCACCCACAAAAGAACATCGAGGTTTGGCTTTCTGATTTAATCACGTTTTCTTTAAACCACCTTCAACAAACTAAAACTAAAAAACGTCCACTCCAGAAATGCATTGTAGTCATTATGAAACTCGCCCTGTCTTTCGTTGTTGTTGGCAGGGATTTCCGGGGTTTTGACTGTTGTCTTATCAGAAATACAACTCGCAGGTGCAGACACAAACCTGTTCCACAGGTTTAAAAAAAACATCTCCACAATCTCTTGAATCAACAAGACTCATTTACAAAAAAAAAAACCAAACAAACAAATTTTAGCGTACTTCATGCAAAATCTATGTCTGTGCTTCCTCAGCTGTCGAAACAGAACGTACACCCCGGCTGTTTATATCTGGTAAAACAATCCTGGATGAGCTTTAACGTTAAAAACACGTTCCCATTTTTTTATTTTCAGAATGAAGGTGGAGGTCGCCGGTCCATGATGGGGGACAGATCAAACCTGTTGACTCATTATCACGATGATGCTAGAACCCTGTACGAAGTTTTCCAGCGAGGCCTCCACATATCTGGTGGGTAAAAGAGAACGACTTCTACTTACATTAAGACAAACGTACAAAAACACACATTCATGAATCTGGATGACTTGTGTACAGTTTTGTCAAATGATGTCAAACATTGGGCAACTTCTAGGCAAAGATAAGTGCCCTCTTGACTAGCTACAGGCTGTTCTTAGTAGCTGTTAGCTATGTTTAGATTTTGTTTTTGACATGTTTGCTCTTACTATCCAGCAGAATACTATCAAGCTAAATGCTATCCAATAGAATATAGCATAGCATTTTGATATTGCTTTCCAATTTTTTTTCAATTTATTTTAAAAATCAACATGCAGCTACGCCCGGCGTGGGAAAACTTTATGACTCACGGGCCAAATTGAACGGGGGTGGCGAGTCAGGAGCAGATAGATGGAGAGTTCATGTGAAAAGTGTGAAAAGATAAATGGCATGTAAAAGTAATGCATGATGGCTAAAATGCAAAAAATGCTTTGATCATTGTCTATGCCATCTATTGGGGAAATGTGAGTATTGCAGGGAAATGGCAGAAGTATGATGATAATATAAATAAATTATATAATTTGGAAAGGTTTGGTGGGACGGATTAAAAAGCTGAATGGACACATCCGGCCCCCGGGCCTTAGTTTGCCCATGCCTGAGACTTTTTAGTAGCCTTTTAGCTCACACTCGATACTTGGCCTGGACTTCACCCCTCATGATTCAGCCTCATCATTAAACCCTGTGGACGTGACTTGAATTATTCTTTACTGACTTGAACTTGGAGTTGAAACAGTGGAGACTTGTATTCCAAGTTTGAAATCAACAGAACTTGACATAAAGTGGACTAAAATGTCCAGCTTTGTCAAGAAACCTTGGTAATTGACTTGAGTAGTATGTAAAATATTATTTTATCAGCTAGGATTTACGGGATGAAGTAAGACACTTAGGAATTCTGTATGTTGTACTGCAAATCCAGCTCCACGAGGAGTACATATATGATATATATATATATATACTGAGTGTGTGTGTGAGGGGAGCGGGCTCACATATATATATATATATAATATATATCATATATATTATATATATGTGAGCCAGATACAAGTATCTATGGGTGAAGTTTCAGTATTAATATGTGAATCAAAACCACAAATCTTGTTTTGATAAAAGTACACACTCAGCCACACCTTGTTTCTCTGACTAGACAGTTGAACTGTTCGCCGTGGCCGTCGTGGTTTCAAATTTGAGCGGCAACAGCATCAAACGTCACTTCACTTGTTCAAGATGTGTTATGATTTTGTGTTTCACTGTGTCTTCACTAGGTGACGGACCATGCTTAGGCTCACGGCTCCCTAACCAACCGTACAAATGGATGTCCTACAAAGAGGTACGTGTCGCTCAGGGGGATTGTTCAAATACACAAGAGGAGTAACATCTTAATAAACCACGAAATCACTTCATTCCAAGGCAATTTGTATATTTCCAAAAATGCATCACGGCCCCCCTAAACATCCACTCCGGCCTGCGACTGGTTTCCAAAATACACATCAAATAATAATAGTTAGACCAAAACGGTGATTTTTATTTCATTTTATTCGACTATCCGGCCCCGAAGGAGTCTCTCCAGGAAGGTTCTGTCCCTGAGCTACACTGTTTAGTGAAGAAAGGTGTAAAAGCCAGTATCTGTTGCAGTCTTATTAATGTTGTGATCTGAATAGATCTAGGTGTGTCACCGAGGAAAGGCTGTGCATAATGTGGAATTTTAGAAAGACAATTCAGTATGTGCATGTAAAGACCGAGTATTTTCCTAGGAACTTTACATGAATTTCTCCGCAACACAATTCTGGGCCTTGGAATACAACCAAGCAGGTGCCCAACCCCTGGTCTGGGGAATGGTGCCAGTCCGTACCAGGCCACAGTGAGACACACTGAAAAAATGTACTTCAGTTTTACTAATGTACTTCATTCAAAAAGAATCCAGTTTTATCCCTTTACTTTTTTTTATTAAAAGGTAATCTGGCAATGTTTTAAAACAACAGATCATTCAGACTCTGATACTTACAGAATAAAGTCTAAAATATTTTATTTTGAAAATTTAATGAACCTTCAACGATGGCGCGGTATTACTGGTCCGCAGTAACGGCTGATACCAGGCGGGTGGGACATTTTTTGATGCGCTGCAATTGTACATTTTTTGTATGCTCAAATACATAAAATACTCAAAATTATTTCCAATGTTATTTGTTATCTTACAGTATAGATTGTGTCTGTGATTGTGCCATCATTACCACTGTAATACTGTAATGTGAGGTAGTGGTCTGGTGACCACAGTAACGGCCATCATTACCACTGTAATACTGTAATAGTATCTAATAAATCTTGTTTGTCTGCAACCTTTGCCCTGTACTGTAGAGGCAAACAAGTCTGCCTGGCAACCACACACAAACACAAAACAAAATTCCAAGGATTATCGATGCAATCTCAAAACACTTCAACCCGACAGTATTAATCCTTCCTGCTGTAGGTCGCTGTCCTGCTTTAAGGTATTTTATAGTGGGTTAAGTGACATTGCTGACACAGATAAGATCAAATCAGACACTAAAAATTGGGTTTCGCCCCATCTTCCAGAGAGGTCAAAGGTCAAGTGAGTCAGTCTCAGGTTTCAGTAAACCTGTGAGCAATAGAGATAAGCTGATGTTGTAAAGGGTCGTAGTCAGGTTAATGGGTAAATTTACAAGAGCCATATGATACGAACGAGCAGGGTAACACCGAGGCATCTCAGGAGGAAATGGTTTCCGCATTTCTTTGTGATGTAATCGCTCTTTCTTTAAAATTCACTAGAAAGCCTGAGCTGCTCTGACAGGCTCAACAAATGCATTCAGACATGTTTCAGCATGTTGTTGATTTTTTTTCTTACCAGGCTAAAAATAATGTGCAGGTGTATAATAAAACCCCAAAAATGTTCCGTTCAGTTTCTCACTTGGTCCAGTCAACTGTTCCACTTATTCCCATCTGCAGGTGACATCCCGAGCGGAGCATCTGGGTTCAGGTCTGCTGCATCAAGGTTGCCAGCCCAACACCAACCAGTTCATTGGAGTTTTTGCCCAGAACAGACCGGAGGTGAGTCTCATTTTATGTTGAATGTAAAATCCTGTTCTAGTCTATAGTGAATGAACAGTAGTTGGGCCAAACTCATTCCAACTCGGCTGGGCTAGACAAAATTTGGACCAAAACAGAAAGATATGTGTCAGTCTACGCAGGGTTAAACTGATTATATTTAGTGATTAAAAATACTTCTGTGCTCCGGGGGTGGCTGTTTTGACTCACAGAACTCATCTAGACACATGGGGAGGACATTACGGGTTGCATTTTTCAAGGCCATCGGGTGCGTTGCATTTTTGGTCTGTCATGACTGGGCCGTTCTGATGGGTTTTTTTGTTTGGATCACACGTGGCTTGCAGGCCACTATTTGAAAAAACCTGTCCTGGGGCAAACAGTGAATAAAAAAAACACTTGTGAAGTTGAGTGAAAACATGTGGGTGAAATTCACGAAATGATTCGGTTTAACTCTTTCTGTGTGTGTGATGACAGTGGAAAAATGATTCTCTTTCTGTGTGTGTGATGACAGTGGATCATCTCGGAGCTGGCCTGCTACACCTACTCTATGGTGGTGGTTCCTCTGTATGACACGCTTGGAGCAGACGCCATACGGTTCATCATCAATACTGGTAAGAACGTATGCACAAATACTTGATTCTGTGCATTTTAATAACATGAAACTGCATTTTAAAAAAGTAACATTTTTAGGTTACAGAATTCCATCATTAAGTCATCAAACACCTCTGTTGAGCTGCTTTTTCATAGCTTGGTAGCATGTTCTGATGCTAATTTTGTTAGCGTCTTAAAACACTTTCCTGACAGTCTTCAAGCCTGAAATTCTGATGCTAATTTTGCACTTTCCTGACAGTCTTCAAGCCTGAAACAGTGATTGGGATGTCAGTCAAACATGTTTGTTTTTTAGATTGCTATTACAGTTGTTGAACACATTTGGATTTTTTTTCTCTTGTTCTGGTTTTGCTCTTTTTTTATTTTATTTATTTTTTATTCTGCCTTTATTCACACAAGGGACTGTGTGTGCTCTTGTGTGCTCGTGTGTCATTTCAGCTGAAATCACCACGGTGATCTGTGACAAAATGGAGAAAGCGCAGGTGCTTCTGGACAACGTGGCACGGAAAGAGACTCCAGGCCTGCAGCAGATCATCCTCATGGACGCCTTTGACTCTGCCCTTGTAAAGTGCGCCAAGGACTGCAATGTCCATGTGCAGTCCTTACAGGAAGTGGAGGTGTGATATCTTAAGTTCTTTAAGTCATTGCTTCCCCTAACACTGACCTTTGGACCGGAGCACTAACTAAATGCTCTGCCTTATTACATTTCCTCAACAGATACAATCTTTATGTTTTGTTCATGCCATGCAAACCTGCACGGCATGTTCAAATAAATGTGGTGACGCAGCCAATAACATTAGCATAGGTGACAGCAATAATCCGTCAAGCAATAAGCCATCCAAGGTAATTGAGGATTGTGACTAAAATAGGAACGCAGGCATTATTACAAAAGAAATCATGAAGGCTGGGTGTAAACGGTTTAAGTTCATTGTCATTGAGGCCATAATCAAGTACACAGAGAACAGACTGGTGCTACATCACAGGTATTAGCGCTCCGCAGTAATGACTGATACTGGTACTTTATTGGCCTTGGTACAATAAAGGCTGGGGACCGCTGAACTAAATGACAAAAATAGCAGCATATTTACAGCGATCCAGTATATATATATATATATATATATATGATAACACCAGATATACAGTAAATGGATTATATGCAGAGTATATGAAGTCTGTGAAAAGTATATAAAACATCATATAATGTTAAAACATCATGTATAAACATCAGCAGGGAAAAGTATATGCAGATTATATGCAGCATGTTCACAGTGTATATAAATAGCATGTATAAATAATTGCAGATTTTTTTTTTTAAAAAATGTGCAAAACCCAAAGACCCCAAAGTGTTTACCAAGATCATGAAAATCTCAGGCTTTGAAACCCAGTATATTATCGAAAAAGATTTAAGGTGATATAATTACCGTACAACAAAATAATTGACAAAAATCACATGCACTTACAGTAAAAACCTAACATTTGTTGCACTCTCCAAGCCACATTTCTGGGAAATGGTGCAGCAGAGTGGAAGCCTGCCTGCAGTGCTCATGTGTCACAGATCTGCCCCTGACTGTCAGTGACACTGTTTACAGGAATTCACAGTGCCACTCTGTAAGAGGCTTGAGCACAGATGCTGTGGTCATGAAACTCAACACATTCTTTCCCAAAAGGACAGCTATTCCAAAGTGATGGGGGACATTTCATTAGCATGTTCTAGCGAGGCTATTAAAAATGCATATTTTTGAAGGGTAAAATTTTGACTTCAACAATATCGTCAAAGAATGTACCCACAATTTTTTTAACTTGACATCAATCATTTAGAATTTTAAGTTTTCCTGTTAAATGGGGAATAGCAGTGTCTTGGAATTAGCGTTTGAGCAGTGCACTGCTTTATGAGAGGTGGAATCTCAGACCACATTCTTGGTCAATAATCGTTTAAAGGTCGAGGGGAGCATCACTTCTCCTTTCTGTCTTTCCAGGCGCTGGGAAGGGAACACTACAGAAAACCTGTGGTAAGGACTTATTATTACATCTAACTGTTAGAGTTTTGCAATACAGTGTTCCCTCTCTATATCACGGTTCTCCTTTCGCTCCATCAGTACATCGCAGGGTTTTTTTTTAGGAATCTGATCTTGCAAAATGCTCGCTATATCCCAAAATATAGCAAAAACAAAAACTTAGACATTATAAAATAATTACACATACGAAAGGTTTGGCTTTAAAAATGTGGGTTCTCGTTTTGAAATTGCGATGGAGCTCAATTGCGAACGATCGCCAGTAGCATTGTTAACCGAGACGAGATCGTACACAGCGAACTATTGGCTAATACAATGCGTACTCGGTGTACTATCGGCTAATTGAGCACGCTCTTCTGTTCCTCACTCTGATTGGCTCATGCATCGTAGCATCTTGTTTGGTGGCCATTCTCTCGTTCACTTCGCTCCACGTCGCCATTTTACAACTCTACTGTGGATATCACTGTGTGGTGAAGGGTAATACAGTCTAGGGAGGGTTGATAACAGTGTGGGGGAGGTTCGTAAAGGGTAAATATATATGTAAATAATATAATAACTATCTCGCGATTTTTCCTGTTTCGCGGTGGGTGTTTGAACGCAACTACCACGATAGGAGAGGTACCACTGTATCGCGTCATATTCATGTAATGCCCAAGCACTGTGACTGCAGTTGAAGAATTGTCAAAACACAACTTCCACATCAAATTAATTGGTATTCTTTCCTACTTTTTTTTTTTTTTTTACAGCCACCAGCACCAGATGACCTGTCCATCGTATGTTTCACCAGTGGAACCACAGGTAGTAATTTTTAAAAAAAATCTAATTTCATCTCTTAACAAAACAAAAGAGAAGACATGTTTACTTATGTACATTCAGCTCCTGCAGCATATTTCTCACAGGAGGCCACGCCACGCCTTGATACCGTGCTACATACGTGCCTGGCTCCTCAACATTATTATTAACAAATCAAAATAGAGGCTTTGTTGTCAGTTTGGCTGAGAGTTGGGACCAGACATGAAAGATTTACATGAAATCGTTTTCCAAGCCAAGGCGGAAGACTGTTTGGTTTGTTGTGTTGGGGAGGCACAGAGGCGGTTTTGTTACTCATTGAATCGTCTTGTTAATCTGTCACCCTGGCTTTGTCTTAGTCCTTATTATGCCTTGATTACAAGCGTTGATCTAACTTTGTACAATGATCCCAGCCTCAGTGAAGCTGAATTTTGTTAGATCTTATTTACTTTTTCCACCGGAATGTAATTATATTTTTCTGATCAACACTATGATTTCTTTTTTTATTATTATTATTTTACTTGTTTGTGGTAGCGGCACACAAAGACATCCATTTCCTTGATAGAAAACACATTCTACTTAGCATCAAAATACCCGCAAAACTGCTTGTAGTTTTTATGGAAAGGTGTCATGTCGTTGTAGAATCGAAAATTTCCTCCTTTACTATGATTGAACACAACACAACAGGATTGTGTTCAGCTCAGTCTGTCATAGTTTCAATAGATCTTTCAGCATGTTCTTGGCACAGAAAAAAAAAATGTCATGAACGTGAATTGGCTGCTCCCTCCTCAGTGACGAAAAAAAACAAAAAAACAGCATGAGACGAGGAACCCAACGACAGGTCATACGAGGACACAGTGGTGTCAGTTTACAAGGAGGAAGCAACTGCTGCTGTTCACGGTGCAATGCTCTCCTGCGAACGCCTGCCCCCTGTTGGCAAACCTGTGACTTGCTGTCCTTTCAACATTTCAACAGCGGTTCGAATGTTTTGTCATGTTAATCATTTCCAAATAATCTTAGTCACAAGCATGTGTGTGAGTCAGAGAGAGAGGAATGAGCTTTTCTCTCCAGGATTGTGTTTGTCTCTGTGAGAAGAACTATTAACCCTTTGTTTTAAACAGTACTAGGGAGAAGTACATGTCACTTTATATGATGATGTGATCACTGGGGTTGTCACAAACAGTGTTGTCCTGGTTAGTTTGATCAACTTTCTTTGGCATTGTTCCACAACAAATATCACACTGCGCCATGTTCCCGTCCCCGCCCCTGATGTTAAAATATCTTCAAACTGCAGACATCGTCGACCCTCTTAAATAGTGCAATGACACACTGAACTGAAACAGGATATAAAAAAAATAACACTCACTGACCGGCACTGCTGCGTAGCCCGTCTTAGCTTTTATATTTGTGACCTATGTACAAAACCAGTCTTTTAATACAGGAGTCACAAATTACCCACATACCAGAAAAATGGCAACTAAAGAGTATGTGGCCCAAACAGATTGCCCTAAATCTAAACCCACTTTGTGCCAACGTCTGTAGTCTGTGAATGAAAGGGGGTTATTTCCTCAGAATTGTGAAATTGATTCAAAGGAATCTCTTGCTGCTGTGCCAGGTGGCTTTCACAATTCTGCCTCTCTGCACAAAAGTGCTTTGTTACACCTCAGTAACGTGTCTTGTCTCCAAATACAGGAAATCCAAAGGGTGTCATGCTCAGCCATGGGAACGTCGTAGCTGATTTTGCAGGCTTTCTCAAAGTCACAGATGTAAGTGTGGTGTTTATTGCATCTGTAGCAGCGTTTCTGTACCATACCGTCTTATTTCACCTTTTTTTTTTCTGACTCTCGTCTCGTTGCAGAAAGTCATTTTCCCTAACCAGGATGATTGTCTAATTTCCTTCCTTCCCCTGGCTCACATGTTTGAGAGGCTCATTGAGGTAAGCTAAACTTGTAAGCTGCTACAGCAGCTGCAGCGGCGGGGGCAGGAGGGCGGATCGGCTCTATCACGAGAAATGTGGGCGTTTATTTTGGAAATGATACTATCTCCAACCCCTACTTTTCCTGTGTTTTCCAACTCTGTGGATAGGGTTATATCCAGGCGGCCATTTATGGCCAGTGTGTTGCACGCCCACATAGTAAGTAAGTTGATAGCCGGAAATGTTTTTGGCTGAAGGAGTGCCATCATTGCTCTCTGATGTAAACCATTTCCGATCCAGAAATGTGACGACAGGGAGGCAGAATTTGCAACAGGCTCCCAGACATTGGGCTGAGCAATAAGATTCTGTAATGATAGACAAGTCCTGAAGTACCTTTTTTGACTCCACAACATTTAAAACACCCTCACATCCTCTCACCTGCAGAGGGTGCTACAGATGCAGTTGGGTTTTTCCTTGTTATTAATTTTTTTTATTTTATTTTGCCAGTACTTTGTTGTTATATGTTATATGGAAATAATATAAGCATTGGACAAACCGAAGCAGTGGTCATCATCATAGTGCTGCCAGGGCCAGGATTCAAACTAGCAGTCCTCTAACTACATTGTAGTCCACTTAACATAATGTTTTCACACCCACCTCCCACACTCCGGTGAATTGAAATACTAACGTGATAACATGTATATTTTTATCTGTACAAACCACTGAATGAGTTGCTGCCACCTAGTGACTGGAGGTTTGTTATCATTCAAGCATTACAGCAGTGGTACACTTACGTCCAGCGTGCAATATTGCAGTGGAAGCCCCTCACGTCCCCCAGGTGGGGCCCGCCCCACTACTTGAGAACTACTCCCTTAACGCAAATTGATATTTTTTCAACAAAACAATACTGTGTAATGTATAATACTCATATTGAACTGCACACCTGCAACAACCAACTGTAGGATACTATTAACTACCATTAACTACAAAATTAAGTTTAAACCTGTGTTTTTGCAGAGAGTTTTATTGGTTAACAGGAAATTGTTTAATACCCAGGATGAGTAAATTACCGCTGACTGGGTTTATTTTAGCAGCTGAAACTTTTCAACTCAACGGATTCTCATCTCGTCCCAGAATATGAGTACGAAAGAATAGGAGGAAAGGGAGGCACTAGCAAATTTAGGAGTTTTGTTTGTACAGGGACCGGTTGGTGTGTAACCTGGCCACTCTTATTTGTCTCCATTGCATAGCAGTGTTGGGATACCAAATGAGGCTGTGCAAGAAATCACCTAACTCCCCCTCAAAGCATGAGAGATTATCTTGTACGAGCACACAGACATCAGCCTTGGAAACAGAACATTGAGAATGACTTGGACAAAGAAAAGGGAGGTGTGCGCGCGTGCTAACCACTACTTTACTTTTTTTTTTTTCTTTTTTTTTACTGTTGTTTACTTTACTGTTGTACTATTAAAAAAATAGAAGGTAAAAATGACACACGTGAGTGGAGCGTGTCAATGTGACACAAACAACTGTACTGTAATTTTTTTTATATATATTAATATCCTCCTCCCATGGTTTTTAATCCAATCATTTAGGGTCATATACAGCACAATGCAGGGGTGTAAAACATACGGACCGTGGGCCCAAACTGGCCCAGTAGGGTGTTTAATCTGGCCTGATTGATACATTTTATAACGACATTAGATTCTGCTGTTTCAACACTACAATATTTGGATATTTGATTACTTTTTATTATTATTATTGTGTGTGTGTTAGCACTGTATGTTTTTATCTTCCCTGTAATCTAATATGTCTTGGTGAATACTTTCCACTGCATGGTGATATCACAGGGTAGATGTGGTAAGGGATGCGTTATTACCACATAGCACAAAAAAAAAAAAAGAAAAAAGGAAAATCCCTTTTCTAAGGAAATTAGTCACGGTGTGTATTTATGGAAATAATGATGCCATGCATAGGACCAGATTAAAGAGGGAAAAAAAGGCAACGTCTGGACATGAACAGCTGCAACAGCCACTCATTAAAAAAAAACTAAATACGATGTTTCCAATAAAACTTGAGAAATCCCATTGTAAATGGCTGCAGTACTGTACGTGTGCTTCTCTGCAGGCTGTGGTGTACTGTCATGGAGGACGTGTAGGTTTCTATCAGGGCGACATCCGGCTCCTCCCAGATGACATGAAGACCTTGCGGCCGACGATTTTTCCCGTGGTGCCTCGGCTTCTCAATCGCATGTATGACAAGGTGAGTACCAGGAAAGTGCAGGTGAAGCGGCTTTGTGGACTGTCCAAAAACCCTAGTACAGTAAATGGGAAACAACCGTAGTTTGGAGGAAGTAGCTCCATGTCTGAGGATTATGACGGAGTGTGTATTTTTTTTAATTACCGCCAGTCTTCTATTACGTTGAAGGGAGGTCATCATTTATTTATTACTTTTATGAAGGAAACTTAACTATAATTTTTAACTATTTGCAATTTCATTTTTGAAAGCAAACTTAACTATAATTTTTTTTAACTATTTGCAATTTCATTTTTGGACTTTAATTATTATTATTGTTGTTATTATTGTTATTGAACAATTTTTATTTTTATTAGTAGTAGTAGTATTATAAGTATTTCAATTTATGTTATTGATATTGGTATTAGTACTATGATTATTATTATTATTTTCATTATTATTAGTTTGCCTTTTTTTTGCTCATTTTTTGTTAGAGCATGTGATTGAGGAGGAAGAGGAGCAGGTTTATGAGATTTTTTTTTTTGTCAAAATAGAATTCCATGCCAACCAGTTTACATTTGAAAATTTCAAAATAGAACTTTCTCTGCATCACAATAACAAATCTGTGGCCCAGTAACGGTCCCCAGACCAGTGATTGGGAACCCCTGCACTACAGCATCAAGCTTATTACTCCAGTGGTCTTTCTGTGTGGAGTTGTGTGTGTGTGTGTGTGTACCGTTCTTCCCTTATGTACGTGTTTATATGGTTCTCTAGCGCCACCTTTGTTTAATTTTTAGAGAATGCTGACCCAAAATGATGTGATCCTCCGCAGATATTCAGCCAAGCCAACACTCCTCTGAAGCGGTGGCTGCTCAACTTCGCCGCTAAAAGAAAAGGCGCTGAAGTCAGCAGGGGCGTCATCCGCAGTGACAGCATCTGGGACAAAATCTTCTTCAGTAAGATTCAGGTACGTGTCATTCAGGAATACTTAAAACATGGGCACTTTTTTTTTATTCTCTGAGAAGATTGTCTCCACTTTGAGAAGTCCTTGGGTGTTTCAATAACAAGTAAAACGTCAGATTACTTACCCTGCCACTAAGAGGGCAGAGTAACCACGGTACATGTCAAACAAAAACAAAGTTATATTATAAGATTCAGTTTTATGATGTCATACTGCAATTTACCTTCATCAAGCATTAACCTTTAAAAGCGACGCGCTCCTTCCTTGTACAGGCCAGCCTTGGAGGACGTTTGAGGATGATCATAACAGGAGCAGCTCCTACCTCGCCCAGTGTTCTGGGATTTCTCAGAGCAGCTTTGGGATGCCAGGTCTCACACACATCCACACATGGACTCACACACACATTTCCCCGATGACTGAGCCCCCATGTGGTTCATAAGATATTTCATAAGATATCAGAAGAACATGACAGGTAAAATTCCTAGTCATAGGTCTAGGTAAGCACCGACTAACCACATGTTGTGTTTGTGGATTAAGTGATAAAGCAGCACAATAAGTATTTTTTTTATTTTTGCAAGGACACAAAGAGGCCACCTTGGGCTTTAAAATACAGTATTTGGGATTATTAAACCATAAACTTTATATTTTACTCTCAAATAGTCCTCACAAACACCTAAAGCAACGCCCTGTTTATTTATTTATTTATTTATTATCTTGTGCAACACTATATAAATAATAATGCTGTCAATAATTTCAAATTTATTGCCAATAGATGAATAAAGGTAATCATTTGATTTGAGTTCTTCCAGGTCGGTGATAGTTTTTCAGAAACGTTTGAGGCCTGATCTCTAACAAAACTAATTTGAAGAATATTCAAATAGCCAAATCTTCAAATATTCTCAGGTAGCTAATGTGTTAGCCATCATTGGAAGGAGGTTTTGAGCAGGCAGCTGTGTTCAGTGGCGTACAAATATTTATAAAAAACACCGCACCATCTGGTACCCACATGTATGTACAGTAACAAACTTGACACGGAACATTTAGCAGTGAAAATGTCAGGTCTTGTCCACATTTTCGCATCTTACAGAAAGACAAAAAAAAAATCCATCATTGTTTGCTCTGTCTATTGTCATGGACGAATGCTGTCCGATGCCCCTTTTGCAAATATCCTTTTTTCTCCGCGCGCAGGTGTACGAGGCGTACGGTCAGACAGAGTGCACAGCCGGTTGCACCTACACCACACCTGGCGACTGGACATCAGGTGAGCCACAGGTTTAGACAGCTCGGCCTACAGTGGAGGGATGCTTATCTCTGTCTGAATCAGTGAACATGTTTACTTCACTGTGAGTTCAGGGCAAAGGTCGAGCCGATACATGCGTGAGTCACGAGGGCACAGAAAATACTGACACTGTGACACTGCGACTGTGTCATAGTAACTGTGAAACAAAGGGCCTGCAGTGAAATACACACAAATACACAAAACAGAGGGCATCCAGTAAATCAAGTTGGAATAATAGACAATAAAAAGTGGCATGGGAGGGTGAGACGAAGAAAGACACTTGGCTATTCAAACAACACACAAGCATACATACATGGATTCCTTACAGCTTATCACATCAACATCTTCATGCTGTTATGTACCAAGAATTTTGCAGAACGGGTTGGCAGACGTTGTTGTTTTTCATGAAACGTTTATGCTGTTTTTACATTACACCCTGCTAATTTCTCTAAAGTTTGAGCGGACCTTGAGAAGGTTACTTCAAACTCAGTTGCCTAATCGTTTCATTTAGGATTAATTATGACCACATTACACAAGAATAATGCAGATTAATCCCCTATGTTAATTACACCAAACAGTCAAAATTTACTTACGCTACCCAAACATCAAATTAGAGCTTCTTCTTTACATTTGCTCATGTGACTTCGGTAAAATGGTGAGCATTTCTTATGAAATTGCTCATGGATGATTGCAACTAGAATGCCTCAGACATTACATAACCACCAATTACTTAAAAATAACAACAAAACATACAGGTTCAATGTGACTAATCTTTTAACCCCCTCTGCTGTTCGTTTTTGGTATTTCGCGAGATAAGTGTTGGTCCATATCTGGCTCTGTGAAATTTAGCTTCTTCAGTTAGCATACCGACCGGTAACCTCTGACAAAAAAGTGTCTGAATTTTTTAAAATTAAAATATAAATAATAATAATAAAGGGTGCTTTTGTTTTATCTTAATTGTTTTCTCCCTTTCTTCCTGACAGGTCATGTCGGGGCTCCATTGCCATGCAACCTCATCAAATTGGTGGATGTTGCCGAGAAGAACTACTTCGCCTCTAAGGGAGAAGGAGAGGTGAGCAGCGGCACACATAAATTTGAATTCACGCAGAGTAAGCTGTATATTTAATAGCTGTGGCCATATTGCTATTAGCTAGAGCTAAGTCTAAATTTAATTTCCCTATCTCGACCTAGCATAAGATTTAGCAAAACCATTTGTTTAAAATTACTTTTAGAGTTTTTAAGTTAAGTTAAACGTCAGCATATTTTTCTTTAAATATTACGTATTTAATCAGTATTGTACATATATGTACATATCTGTCATTTTTACTGTTTTACGGTGCTGCTGAAAATCGTACACTCTTGATGCAGTCCACAGAATTTGTTTGTCTCATGAGCCCTTTTGCCTCCTTCCTAGATTTGTGTGAAGGGACCAAATGTGTTCAAGGGCTACCTCAAAGACCCAGAGAAGACGGCTGAGACTCTGGACGAAGACGGCTGGCTCCACACTGGCGACATTGGAAAATGGTTACCCGTAAGTGTGTCTGCTTTACACTACAGCTGTTAATGGATTAGACTCCTTTAAGAGTTGTTTTTGATTTTTGATTTTGTTTTTTTTTCATCTCTGATCTTTCTCATGTAGAACGGCACACTGAAGATAATTGACAGGAAGAAGCACATCTTCAAGTTGGCCCAGGGCGAGTACATCTCCCCTGAAAAGATCGAGAACATATACATCAGGAGTCAACCTGTGGCACAGCTTTATGTGCATGGAGACAGTCTGCAGGTAGAGAGAAAATGACGCAAACACGCACAAAGGCATATTATTATCCACCACAAAGGACATCACAAGGGCTGAGGATGACACAGGACAAAAAGTCTTCGTCTTTTCTCCCCCTTTCAGTCTTGTCTGGTGGGTATCGTGGTTCCTGACCCCGAGGTCATGCCAGAGTGGGCCAAGAAGAAGGGTATATTTGGGACATATGATGACCTTTGTAAAAACACGGTAGGTGACCTAAAGGCACTCAGCTCGACCTCAGATTGATTAAATCACAGGGAGTGTTTTATTAAAAGAACTAATGTTCCTCTATCAACAGGAGCTGAAGAAGGCCATCCTTGAAGACTTAGTCTCTCTTGGAAGGGCCAGCGGTCTGCACTCCTTTGAGCAGGTGAATAAGGAATTGAAAAGAAAAATCATTAATTTTGTTATTTCTGACTGAATGTGTTTGATATGATTACATTATTTATTTTAGATTTTACCATGAAAGCAACCTATTCCCCACATCCTTCCAGTCTCACTCAGTCGTGTTTACCTCTTAGGTGAAGAACATCTACGTTCACAACCAGATGTTCTCCATCGAAAATGGCCTCCTGACACCGACCCTAAAGGCCAAACGGCCGGAGCTGAAGGAGTACTTCAAGATGAGAATCGACCAGCTCTACAGCGGTATTTCAATGTGAAAATGTGCAGACCAATCTCCCAGAAACCCCTTTGACACCAAAAGATCTGCTTTCACCAGTGACCAGCACTTGTCAAATAATTTAAAAAAAAATAGGAATAACCTCTTCCACCAGTAAAGATTGGAAATGCCTAAAAGACAACAAGTTCTATAATTTAAAAAAAAATAGGAAAAACCTCTTCCACCAGTGAAGATTGGAAATGCCTAAAAGACAACAAATCAAGCAGAGGAATCAAATTTAACCAAATTAATTGGATCATGTAAATTAATTAAAGGAAAATATGATTATTTAGTTATGAGTCTTTTAGAGTTTTTTTTTCTTTTAATTTTGGTTTTAAAACCTATGCTGCAAAAAACCTAAACTCTTGACAGGGTGAATGTGAAAACTCCCGCAGAGTTTAAAAATCAAAGAACTGATCAATTATGTCACTGAAAATTCATGGGAGTTTAATCCTAACCCTGACAGTATTTTCATTCACTGGCAACAACTTGTAGACCTTCTGCCTTCATCAGTATACTGTGTTGCCAGCAAACTCCTGATTAGAAAGTTGTCAACAATATTGGTGCGGAACAAATGCACTGCAAGTGCTAACTGGATCAAAGCAAAAGGTTGGCTGTATTTTAGCGGATGTGATTTAGTTGATGCGTCATACACAATATATGACACACACACATTATTTGCGGGATTTGTTTTCCTTCAGGCATGGTCAGTCTTTCAGCAGCCCTAAACCGTTGCGTATATTACACGCTGTGCTCCCAGCAGCACGAACAACTCATGAGTCCTTGTTGAAGTCCTTTCCCACTTCCTGTCCTTTCGGCTTTACATTGTTCAATTATGACAAACCTACCAGCCCGACAAAATCCACAGCTGTATGAGAGTGCCGTTGTGTGTAGAGTAACTCGAACAGACGTTTAGATGTGTGTTAAAACGGACTAAATTATGCAACGTACACTGTGGAGAAGGGGTTGAGGTGTCCCAGTTGATCAGGTAAACTAAACCAAAACGATTCTCTATGTTTAAGATTAAGGACAAAGCGATTTGCAGTTTCTGGGATTTCATGTACCTTTTTTTTTTCATCGAGATGCATTGGTGAGCTGCAGTTTGCCATGCATGCTCCTTGTTTATATACAGGACTGGTCCCACCACGAAATATTATGCTCCACTAATGGCATATTCCAAACTTTCTTTTTTTTAAAAAAGAAATCATCTTTGCACAAATACTGTCAGGTAAAGGAAGACAGAGAAATGAAGGACAACTGGGGCTCAGGGCAGTGCATGCTGTCTGCCCTGGAGTGCTGTTAATATTAGCATCTGACTTTTTAAAAGTAACCAGTTCTTTATGGAAATATTACAAATCAGGATGTACTGTACACAGCTGCCTGCAGTTTCTATTGCTAATGATAAAAGTCCGATGAATTCCACTGACTTAAAACCATACAGGAAACGACACGTGTCACCTTTTTTAAAAAAAAAAACGAAAACAGAATTAAAGAACAAAACCATTTTCTCTCAAGGGGGTACACATAAGTAATACTGTATGAAGATTTTTCTTTATTTGACCCAAAGGGATAACAATGTGGATGTACATAACTGAGAACAGCTAGACGTAGGCATATTTATTAAATCAATGGTTTGAACTGAGATTTTTTTTCTTTTTTCTGTAGTGACATGAATTGCAACTATTTATTTACTCTACTGTAAAATTGAAATAAACACCATATCCTTGTGATGATTGAGTGCGGCAATATGGGGGACGTATAGTGGGGAAACGGGACTGGGGCCACGAAATAAAAGATATTCTGGAATGATTTTAAACCAATGCATGGATTCTTGTTTTCATAATACTTTCACAATGTTTTAAGAAATGTGTATAGTATAAACGTGATTAAAAGCAATTGCATAATGAAAACGGAAGAGGGAGAGAGGGAGAGAAGTCAATACATTATGTTATAGTCGTTATAATGACTCGACTAATGTTTAACTTTTAACTGCAGGTTTTACGTCGTGCTACCTGAGACCACTAGATGGCAGTAAGGGACGACAGATTAGTGATTACGTAACACTTCAAAACCCTGTAGTGGTAGATTTAAAATGAGCAGAGCAAATGTGAGCAAAAATGTCCGTTAAAAACCATTAAAACCTTCGTTTATTGTGGCTCTTAATTGGGCTTTTTTTTTTCCTACTTCACGAACTGATGTCAGCAGGCAACAGCTCCATTTTTTAGCTAGTGAACGCGTAAGCGACAGGTGTTTATCACGATACTGATAAAAGTGGTTTTAAAGATTGAATGTAACGATTTATCTAAGACCTGTTGAAAAATGGACCGGAACAAGCGCAGAGTAAATCCTTCTCGTGGAAGTAAGAAAGCAGATACGCCTATTAAACCAGCACTCGGTGGAAAACACGGTAAACTTAAGACCACGATGAAAACCTCATTAAAACCAAGTCGAACAAAAGGGAGATTATGTATTACCAGTGCTTTACTAAACCCAGTTTTTGACACTTTTAGAGTACAGACATTTTCAGCCTAAAAGATGTTTTGAAGCATTCCCCGAAGAAGAAATGGCGGACAAGTGTTTTCAACCGACAACGGCAGTGTTGGTAAGTGTGCTTGTGTTTATTATTTATTAATCCTGTGTTTGATGTCGTTAAAAATAAAGCTAAGGTTAAGTCTTCGGATGGGCAGAAAAAGAAAAATCCAAGTCACTTTTTAGCGTTTTATATATATTTATAATATTCATATTTATGTTTGCATCCGTAATTAGCATTAGTTAAAAACCGCGAAACTGCTTGATGATATATAAAATACAATATTGGCTAAAACAACCTACTGAAAAGAACGGAAATTTAAAATGTGTTTTTATCATAACCTCCAAAAATATAGTGTAAACTACAAAGGCAACATCTATAGGCCCTGGGCTTTGTGGTTGAAGGATTTGATTTTTAATTGAAGGTTCTGTCTTACAACCAAATAACAGCCCTGTCACATCTGCAGTGGACCTAAAAGTACAGCCCTATGTGCGTCATGCCTGTCGGCTAAGAGATTAATTCACTTATTTCTAATTTATTTATTTGTTATTGACACAGTTTTAATTAAGAACATTATAAGGGAGAACTATTGAGGCAGAAAGAAAACACCCTACCAAGATTTACAGACTGTAAAAGACTGCAAACAAAACAAATTATCAGTGCTCATGTTTATTGTAAATTAGGTTAAACCTTTATTTAATTCTTTTTGTTTTCCCCATGTTTCATTTCCTTAATCCTTTCTCACATGCATTCAGATACAGAAGAAGGCTATCCAGCCTAGGTTCCAAATGTGTACCACCGGAGTTCAAGCTATCACAATGGTCACTGAAAACACAGCAGGCGAAACAAGTCCATTTAATTCTTATGAACACCCATCAAAGAAACGACTGAGTATTAAATACAAGCAAACCTTGAAAGGGGTGTCAGAAAGCACAAATTCTTCAATAGTGGAAACGGACACAATAAACTCTAACACAGAGGACGACGAACGTTGCTCTTCTGTAGCTACGTCTTCCAGCAGCCTACCGTCACCAGAGATCTTCAGGAAAGGCGACAGTGGTGCGTGTGTGAATTTTGAAAATCCGTCTCCAAATAAAAGGTATTCTATATTGGTTCTCTATGTAGTCAGGCATTATGTCTTCTGTCCTAATCTCTCTTCACAGCGGACAGTTGGATCTCAAATTTTCAAACTGATCCACTGGATTTTACCCTTACAAGAAAAAACTCTACCTTGATGGAGGCAACGTACGCCAAGAACATCTGCATGTATCATCCACCAAACATTTCAGCCATCATTGGTACATGTAGAAATGACTGCATCATTGACAAAAAAAAAAACTACTAAAATATTTTATCCTACCTGCAATTCTAGAAAAAGAATTGTAGAAAAAACATCTGTCTAGAAGGTCGTGTTTTTTTCGATTGTTCTTCTGTCCCATTACTTAAAATATAATATACAATTGATATATGACCCTGGGGTTTTTCATAATATAAGTTGGTACTTCAGCACAACATTTAAATCTTGTCTGATTGAAATTTACCCTTGTGTGTGCAGATGACTCCCCGACTGTTGCTGAGACTAACAGTAAGAACAGGCAGGTTGGACAGTTATTCACAGTCACTGACATTCTGTAAGAAGGTGATGTTTATTCATTTTTCTTTCTCAAAGAGACAACACGGAGCCTGAAGGAGAGGCTGAAAAACAAACGGACTTAAAAAAGCCCAATGGGCCAAAACTAAGCACACGATTCAGAGTAAGAATGTTGTATATGTTACAGTATGTCATACGAGGGTTTTGTTGATTGATTAATGTGATGTGTTTCTCCCTCAGATTGGCAGGAAAATGTCTGTTCGCATCAAGAAGAAAGTAACATTTAAATCCCCTGTTATAGTATGTGATGCTGAACACGTTAAACTGTGTGAATCGGATTTTTGCAGCAAGTCTGTCCAAACATCTGAACAAACCCAGAAGTTGGAAGAAACAGCTAAACCAAAGCAAATTTGTATTAAGAGTAGAGAAATGAACCAGGAGGTGAAGCTGAAAAAGGCTGTGAATAGAAACCCAAAGGAGGCTAAGTTTTTTGACTTTACCAGTGATACTGAGAGGGATCTGTTCTTGCAAAACGCAAGAGATCGGTGTGTCAAACTAAGAAGTTTGAACTTTTTGCCTAATGCATGTTTTTATGTGTAAAAAGTTTAACTAAAAAGATTACTGCAGGTTTACAGTAATATAATAGTATTGTTTTTCTGTGTTAATTAAAAAATATCTTAAAGTGTTACTTGAAAACAAATGTTACTTTTAATAGCTCATATGGACTTTTGCTCGTTTATTGTTGTTTTTGTATGTAATGTGACCACTAGATGTCAGACTTGAATGTTAAATCAAAATGAATAGCTTCTTTGTATTTCCAGTTTTCCAGACATTTGTATGTATTTCTATGTCTATTTATTAATGTAATCAAAATAAAGTTATAAATGTTCTGTTGGTTCTGTTGTGTATTTGATTTTGTCATTAATCAATTGCATGTTTATAAATTACTGTGTTTTATGGAAATGAGAAAAAACAGGTTTACGGCCCCTTATAATTACTCCAGATCACATATCTGTGTAATTGAATGCTTCCTAAAAATATAAATGGTTCAGATTTTACTTGATTCATTGACTCCATGCTATATATCTATTTTATGATACATACCAGCTGGCCAAGTTAATTTAAAACAAAAGCTTAAATTCTGACATAGCCAAAATTTACAGAATACAGTCAGATAGTTGGACAATTTCTTTTAATGTCTAACCAGCTTGTAAACTCATTTGTTGACGGTAAATGTCTTTTTTTTCCTTTTACGTATTATGGGAATGTTCTCTAAAAGGCTGCAAATCACATTTTTCACTTTTGTCCATGACGACCCAAATACCGTTGATTTAACAACCACTCTAACTTGCATATATATTAAAGGAGGTGAACGAGTAAGTACGGTATGTTACTTATGATATGTGCAATTACAAAAAGCTAATGTTAAAATTGTGATATACATTACGTATTTAAAAAGCAAAATGTATACATTTTGTTTTGGGATGCTAATTAAATACGTAGGTTCGAGGTCGTTAAATATCCGCGCCTACGTGACTTTTCTGTGAATAAATTTCATGCTGTCGCGGTTCCTGACAAAACATCAACACCGCGAATCCATCGACCACGTGGTACCTGGGCCATAAATACCGGCCAATCAGATATTTTGTAGTCACGGCGTCGTCACCACAGCCAATCAGAAAAATTCAGCGAGTTACCAAGCAGCTCCTGTGACTAATGCCTGTCATATGACTGTGACATCCATGGAGACAGTTACAAGGAACAAGATTCTCTCTTGCCTGTGAAAAGACAAAGAGACTTTCTGTACCGATTTTATGTTGGTACAAAATGCCTCCGACTCTCTTCCAGAAACTTTTCAACAAAAGAAATGCCCTTTCGTCGCCGCCTCCCAGATGTAGCAAAGATGAGCCAGCTTTCAGGTAAAAGCTGTACTCCGTACTCTTTCTCTCAGTGTACGTGCGTGTTTGGGGTTTGAGTGTAACGTTTTACGGGTGTGTGTTATCTTTATGACTTTCGTCGAAGTGTGTCAGGAAAAATAGTGATGCTTCGTTATACTGACTGAGCTCCGGGTCATGAGTTTGTTAGTGTACTGTTTTTTTACACAGAGATTCAGGAAGACGCGTTAGTGCCTGTTGGTGACGTTAGCTAAGATGCTAACTGCTAGTAGATGTAGCGGGACTGCTGCGGCAGCACGACGTCTCTTCATGGGACTGGTTTACCTCGTTTGCTGCAGATGTTGAACTGTATATTTTTCTATAAAAGCTGCTATATTTGTATAATTAAAATTAACAGACAGTTGAGTTAAAAAGTAATGTTTCTTTTCAGCGCATTTCTTGTATAATCAGCCTTTGAAACATTGCCTTCGTTTAAGAAGTTGCAGAAGCTTCCCCTTTGTCTTCAGTCCGTGTCCTCCTTTTGTGTCTCTGTGGTTCAAATCAGACCATGGTGCCTTCGCGGTGACAGGCGTGACTGCACTAAAAAAGCCACGCTGTGTTGTCTCATTTGTTATCGTTAACTTAAGCGCAAAGTACAAGTGGTTTGTCTGCCAACTGAACTGTACATGCGAGTGTGTATTTAGAGAGTAGGGCGGTCTGGGTAGATTATATGATCATGAATGTCGCACATGGAGTCGGTAGCACGTGAAACCAGACTACAGACAGACTGTTTAGTGCGAGTTAAGCGAGATTTTTGGCTAAATAGTCAGAGGCAGTTCGACAGGTTGCATTGTTTTTGCTCAAACAACGCGTTGGTGTAAATCAGTCAAAGCACTAAAAATGTGCTTTATTTCTTGAATCTTTATGCAATTGTAAATATCACATAAGGTGTCAGTGCACTTTAAAGGAATCAACTGTTGATCTCAACATTTATCGTCACTCATAGAGCTCCTTTATTAGGAATATGTAAGCGGAACTTTTATCCACTACACGGTAGTCAAGCTGTTAAATCATCAGGCTACACCATGCTTTTCACCTTTTTTATAATTGCAATGATAATGCAACATTAACTCCGAGCTTAGTGAGTTAATGTTAGTGGTACTTAGTCAGTACCACGTATATCTAAACAGGTAATTATGATGGAACCCTTAAAGGAAGTATTCAAATAATTTTCTTGACATCTTGGTCATAAGTTTATCTTTATAAAAGATAGAAATAATATTAGTTCATTGTAATAGTTTTGTAACACTTTTCCACTTTGAATCACATCTAAACAGTTCAACACTTTTTGATATGTATTTCTGTAGTGTAATGCAACATTTAAGAACAGTGCATAAAAATAAATGACAATATTAAACCAGCTTTTTTAAGTGTCTTTGAATGTAACCCCCTTTTGTTAATTCAGCCAGATGTATCACTTAAAAAAAAAATCCGTCCAAATGTTACCTGTCTGTTGCATGTCAAGGTCATGACTAGTAGGAGTGGAAAGTACAGCACCTTTTTTTAAATAGCACTGCTGTGAGAAATGTTTCCATACGCCTGTCACCTGTGTTTATACACATGCATGTACCTGAGAACCTCTAAGTTCCACTCAGCCTGGTGGCTGATTGCACTTTGGCCCTTTATCTGTGCCAAAGGATTTTCCACAGAGGTAAAGGTGCCCTGCACCAAGTGATGTAAGTGCAGCAAGTGTGTGTGGATGACTGCAGCACTCGCACAAACAGGAAAGCAGCAGAGGTTTCTGTTAACTCAGTGTTTAGCTGTGCACTTCATACCTCTGGTATGCATTCCCACATTCATCAGAGCACAGAACTGTGAAAGGATATTTGGCCAGTACCAGGAAGATGCTATCAAACATATTTAGCATTAGCTTGGTATTGTGGATTAGGGACAAGTGGTACAAGAGAAGTGATTTGTTTGTTCCAGACATGGTGTATTTGTGGATGGTTCTCTTAATATCTTCTTCAGCGACAGGGGAAGTAGTGAATCTAACAAAAATGTTGTTAAACAATTTAAATCCATAGAAACGTAAATATTTTCAGCAATGGCTCAGAAATGGATTTGAAAGAAATTATGGTTTTATGGATTATGGACACTAGTGCAGGGCCCACAAATTTGACCCCTGCAGCTCACATTTTGTCACATGACCCAGCACTTGGGAAGCGCTTAAAGTCGACCCTTATTCATTATCTATTTATCTTTGTCATTAAAAAATATTGGATAGACTGGCTTAATCCCAAAGTGACTCAGATGAACCTGGTTAAAAAATGTTGTTTGTTGCTCTATATGGAATCTGTAAAGGTCTTCTTACTTACTCTAGTTTCCCACAATTATTCTAGAAGATAGTTGCAACTGATTCTTAACAATCACTGGTTAGTTAGGCATCAGGGAAGACCTTGTCTAAAACATATCAAACTCCAGACAATGTTATGTTTTTTTTTTCCAGAAGATTATTGTAACTATACATAACTTGTTGTTTTGAAACTGGTAACTGTGTTTAATGGTTCAGGCTTTGCTCTGTCACACTGCCCTGGAGAATATCAAAGAGGGCAGCAGGTTGGCTGACCCTAGGAGGAAAACCCTAAAAAGCCTCTCCAGTTTCTTGGCAGTGCCACCAGACCAAGGACAACATACTGTACATTACACCGAGAGCCCTTGGCTCATCCCACAGCAGTCAGAGGGCTGATCAGCAGCCAATAGCCTTGTCCTCCTCACCCACACTAATTGTTCAGATTGATCCGTGCTGCCTGCCGAGGAACCCTCCCTCCTTGCTCGGACCGTGCAACTTTGAGTTTGTGCAGACGTAGAAAGCTGAGGCCGTGTGTTCAGCAGAAGTCCGAGCCTTTCTGTTGTACACTCTATTCTTGAACAATCTCAAGGCCAAATATTGTCCCGTGAAAAACGGTAGTTGTGTTTGAAAGTTATTTTTAACTGCAGCGACATTGGGATTTTAAACCCTTCTTAGAGAATATATCTTGCTTTTCAAAATACACAATGTATATCGCATAATAAAACCTTTACTCTGTATTTATTTTTAGTTTCCTGGACCTTTGCAGGAGAAGCCTTGTCTCGTGTTTCTGATTGGTGTACTACATACTTTCATAACTCTGTGTGTCATGTGAGGCTTTCATCAATCTTAGCTGACAGGTCTGTGGGATGATCACATGGCCGCGCTCTCAGTCACGGGAATAAATCTACGTGTTGATAAGAAGGGAGTGCCCTGTGTCTGCTCTCTTCAACTCCATGCCGCCTTTTTTGTGACAATAGTTATTCGAGTGCATTTTTACTGTTTTCCAAATTTAACTATTTTTATTCATTATGGCCTCATCTGTCAGTTGTTGTTTGGCATTGCGCACACGTGTGTGTGTGTGAGTAGGTACCCTTGCTAACATGCTGCAGGCCTGCCGGTGGTCTGTAAAGACGGTGGCTGTCATCGGGTTCCTATCAGAACTATTTTAAGTGGCTGCACTCTGGCTTCTCAGAACTGCAGGGTCATAGTAAATATAAATTTTAATGTAAAAGCTACAACACACACACACACACACGGCATTAATGTGATTTTTTTTTTTGTGTGATACAGAGTCATGTGCTTATGATCTCATCATTCCCATTCTAAGCTATGACAGTGTATAGAAAAAGCCATAGTTTACACATAGTTATTAAGTGACACACCCATGCCCAGTGTGATGACAACAAGTTCGTTAACTGCCCTGAGAAACTTGGGCATGAAAATAACATAACGTTTTATTGTGCCTTTGTGTTTTTTTTACTCACCATTTTTTTACTTGTAGTACCATTTATTATGTTTGTTGTTTACAACCCCAGTTAGCTAGATATGTTTCACCTTTTCTGGCCCATTGTAAGCCTGTCACGGCCATGAGAGTAGGAATGACTGGGCACAGCCTCATCCTGACTCAGTCAGCATCATGTGAGAGTTGGAATGCAGAAGTCCTTAACGCAACAGCCAGCAGCAGATTTAGCTGTTATGCAGGTAGTCAGGTGCTTTCAAGCAATGTGGGCCGGAGTCACTGTTTACCAGTGCTTAGTAATAGTATAGTATATTTGTTTAGTCAAAGGATGTGCACGATGGAGTCACTGTTTACCAGTGCTTAGTCATAGTATAGTATACCGTATTTGTTTAGTCAAAGGATGTGCACGACGACTCTTTTATGTTAGAAGGACATGCATGTTGCATTATGTTTCCCCATTTCAGAAAGTGGCAATCGGCCTATCCAGTATCCTCGGATGGCGTTCCCTATTTGGTGTTAATTTCCCATCATATAATGTTACACCTGCACTATGTGCCCATCTCGTGGAAGGTTTTAGGTTTAACAAGCAGGTGGACAGTGGGCAACACGCCTAGGATATTGTCTAAATATAGTCAAAATATGAATGTAAAGAATATATGTGCAAAAACTGCCACTATTTATCTAGAGAAATTGAAATCATCCAGTGTCTACCTTATTGCAATGACCTATAAAAATGTGTTTCCCAAATTGTTTGCAAACTTCTTGCACTGCAGATTTGAAGAAATCTGCAATTTGGCAGTGCACTTTAAAAAACCCAACAACCTTATTTATAAACCAGCATTCCCTTGACTCAACATTTTGATCAGACTGGGTATGAAAGGAGGGTCCACTGTAGGATGGGTCCTCTTAAGAACGGAGCAGACCTCACCACTTTTGACAAATAGCAAAACTGTTCATTGAAAAATCAATGTCGGTTGCTTTAAAGGCCAAAGGTGAAAACTTCTGTTGAATGTGTAATCTTCCAGTGACTGGCCTCCAAAAACCGCACTGGATCGTGCAGCCAAGAAAGCTCCCGACAAAATAGCACGACCCGTTTTTACCTGCGTGTATATATGAGTGTGTGCACACACTGATTATCTTGTTTTCATAATCGTTTGGAAACTAAAATTATAACTGTAAAATTTGATTTACTAGCAAAGAAAATTTGATTAGTGTAACGCAGAAGACTGAAATTTATTTACAAAACTATAGCAGTTTCCTTAACCAGAAAACAAATCACTATAAAATTAGTTCATGTCGCTGTTGTATGGTAAGGCTAAAGTTTTGAATATATGAAGTGTTTGTGACAGAAACAGGTCTGTTATAAAAGCGTCTCACAGCTGTGAGGGATAAGCTGTTGGTACTAACCTGCCCACCAACCAATCAGTGTAGCCCGCAGACTGAGGAACGTCGCACTGCGTGGACTGAGGGGATATTTATGTAACAGTCTCACCGCCTCTAAAGGTTCTAACTTACACATGTTCAGATGCTCATTTGCATTAGAGAGAATGAAATCTCTTGGTGGGTGATGACTTTTTGTGACCTTTATGTCCTGTGTATTCAAATCTACCGTTGGTTTTGTTACCAGATCATTCTATTTCAGAGGCTTTAATACGTTTTTCTTCTGAAGTTATGATGCTGCCATCAGTTGATATTTCCAGCTCAGAAAAACAAGATATAGACCGATGATGTGAAGTAGGACTACGAGAGAGAGGGACAAAAAAACAAAAAAAACAAACAAAAAAAAAAAACATTGCCTCAGTCACTTCCCCTCTGTCACTCTCTCATCACAGTCAGCAGTCCAAGCTTGCTGCTGCTGCTGCTGTTGCCTCAGTACTGTCCGCCACACAGGGCTCCTGTGATCACCTGACAGTCTCATGTTATTGTGTGAATTTAGTTCACCGCTATTCTTAGACCCTGCTTTGGCTGAGTGAGGAGAGTGCAATAGAAAGAGAGAAAGAAAGAGAGAGGGAGAGCTGGGGAAAGACTGGCAGACTCGCAATGATGCCCAGGTAGGACATGATCTTACCAGACTGACATACATCAGAACAGGCGCGATAGCATTGATTTAAAATTTTTTTATTTTTTTTCAAGGAACAATGTAAATGCTAATGTTTTTTTTTCCTTGTTGCTTCATATTTAAGCTTTACGTTTTTGTATTAAATAAGCATTTCCAAATGGGTGTGACCAGCATTTCAATGTTCAATTTGATGCAAAAACAATTATTATATTTGTATGTATTTATTATGTGATATATATGTGATGTCTTAAGGGTTTCCTTAAAAGGTTTCCTCTGAAGTAGTTTTTTTTATAGGATTGAGGAAAAAAAAAAGAAAGACTACATGCACTTAATTTTGGGGTTAGGGCAGACAAACAAATGTGCTACTATATATATATATATATATATATATATATATATTATTTATTATTTTATTTTATTTAATTTAAGAGGAAATTTCATTTCCAAAATGAACAGTCTCTCAGTTTTGTACACAGAATGGAAACAAAATGACGGCTTTCTTTTCATTCGAGAAGGTCGAAGAAGTGTAAACCTGGATGTGTACACGACTTTCTGAATCAATTTCAGTTCTGACAGTTGAGGTCAAAGCAGTACAAGTATGTAACAGCCATGCAGTCATGTGCTGCTTTTATGAATGACTCCCCTCTCTCTTCTGTCAACGCTGTGACTGTCACAGGCTCACTGATGGGACACTTCCTCCTTCGCTCTCGCTCTTTGAGATGCTTTTCTGTTGTTCTGTTTGTGGTTGTTTTCTGTGACCTTTGCTCCCATTGGCAGAGCTTCATTGCGGTTTTTCAGCATTCTTTTGTGTTTTTTTTTCTTATGGTATTATTTTTCCTTTCTCGCTCCTTTACCTCTCTCTTTTGTAACATGCTGGTTTCACACCTTTAGTTTGAAGGAAAAAAAAGTTATGATTTATTTTTAAAACCTTGTTGCTTCTTAAAAGTTATTTTTGTCTCATAAGTTCTGTCTCTTTCCTTCTTCCGTGTGTCTCTTTTTTGCTCTTTTACAAATAAAACAAAAGAACCAGTGTGCTTTGTGTCACATTATACAAACTCCCCGAGGGCTGATCTATAAACAACACATTATCTTCGCTTTGTAACGCTGTAGTGTGACTCACTTTCAGTCGTGTAAAATGTTTTGTATCGGCAGATATTGGTTCTTTTCTCAGTAATGTTCAAGTTAGAGCCGCGTCAAAAGTACCACGACATTTTTTTTTGTAATGTCACAATAATCGTACTTTACTGTCAACAGGGAGAAAATCTGATGGAAAAAAAGTTGTAAGATAATTGTTTAGTCAGGAGCATCTGATGACCACATTCATAAAGTGACAAGTTCCGTTGGCTAGACAAAGATTAAATTGCTTTTTAGCACCACCAACAGCGTAAAAGTTGGTTCTGCGTAGAGACTTGAGACGGTGGGCAAAAGTTGGTTGGCATTCTGACAGGATTTAGGGTGGAGGTCGGCTTGCATTTTGTGAGCTACAGCTGGGGGGATGACGGGCATGTGTTTATATCTGCTTGCCTGGAATGCAACTCGGTCCTGCAGTGCACATAATGTGTAGTAGTAACGACCCTCCTCGTATTCCCTATTAATTCTAAAACCAGACTACGATCACCACCAGCTTCAATGACGATGTCATTTTTTTTGTTGAATAGTAAATATCTTTGAGCAACTGTGGAAAAACAAGCTGTAGTAACAAATCCATCTTTTTCAATAAAGTGCAGGCGTGAAGTGAAACATTGATTCTTTTCTGTACAATTTAGACTTTTTTTTAAATTTTAGATGTTAGTATTTGGGCATATTGGAATTTAATAGCCAGAAGAGTAAAAGCAAAATCAAGTGCTTGATGCCTACAATGTTCTCACATAGAGTTTTTGAGGTCTATTTATTTGACCAATTGACTTCCATTTTCTTTGTCTATTGTTTAATTAAATAAAAGCTGTTGCCGCTCGTACGGTTTGTCAAATGGTGATCTGTGCTGTCTAAACTGTTCCTTTCTATCCGTTCCCACCAACCTATTTTAATTTGTTTGTTATGAGACGCTCCCTGCTCTCTGTTCAGAGCCTATTTTTACCCACTGCATGTGTCCATCTGCCCAACACATCCATTTGTCAGATCAGACAGAAATCCACGCTGGTCTGCGAGGGTCCAGTCCCCTGTCGTCTCCCACTAAATCAAACATGGGAGCGTTACTCCAAAAGCAGTTGGTGACTGCCAGATTACTGTGGTGGCTGACTTCTGCCCGCAGTAACGTACATGCAGGGGTAGATTTGCAATATTTTATTGTGCAATATGACTTGGGGTTATATATATATATATATATATATATATATATATACATTTTCCCCACGTACCACTAGAGCAGTACGCATACCACAGTTTGAGAACCACTGGGTTTCAACATTGTTTTCTGTGGCTCCAGTAGAGCAACAAGGTGCACATTAAGGACTGAAATCACCAACCTTATGTAACAGATTTTCAGTTTATGCTTTTGCATGTATTTTTTTACCTATTCGCCTATTATTTATTCCATCATTAGAATGACTATAAAATAAAAACTGGTGTAAAACAAATATCAGGACTTACTGTTATTTCTCTTTAATGGTATGTTCCAGCATTGTACAGATTGCGGAGTGAGGCATGCTTATTTATCTCAATCAATCACAACTAATTGTGACGAATTACCAAAAAAAAAAAAAAAAAGAGTATCAAGGTATTTTGAATATACCATATTTTCTGTGTTGGGTGTCTGGACTGTAACAGATGTATGGTGGTGTTTAAAGACCATCATTAAACAAAGACACAGATTAGGGACAGTGGCGCCTCCTCTGGAATTGCACCTGTGGGCTCAGCATGCCAGCGAGTATGCCTGTTGTCCAGGCTTTGATTCATGGGCTCTTTTTAGGCACAGATTAGAGAAATGGTATGAAAGTGCTACAACGTGGATCCACCACCTGCAGATACAGACACTGTGGTTTGGTACCAGGGAGTCGGTGGTGATGGCCCTAATCATGCAGACAGAAGTACAAGAGTGATCCATTCAGAAAATGTGTTCAGTTTTGAGAAACACTGAAATGTATATATTTTATTCTGTCCACTGAATTACTCTTTTTTTTTTTCTCTTTCTCTCTCTCTCGTTCTGTCCACTGAATTACTTTTTTTTTCTCTCTCTCTCTTTTGTTCTTCCTTCTCCATGTAGTTGGCCCCTGCCCCAGCTGGAGCCCGGTCAGATCAGGCTTATAGTTTATCAGGACTGTGAACGGCGTGGTCGAAATGTCCTCTTTGACTCCAGTGCCAAAAGGAAGGGCACAGAGGAAAATCCCATCAGTGTGAGTAATGGTTTGTCTGTGTGTGTTGTTGTGCCCATTTTTAAGCAGTGTTTGAAGTAATGAAGTAGCGGCCTGTCCTGTTCAACGTTCACGGCTGAAACAAACGTTAAAAAGAGAAATGAGCCGTGCACGAAACGAAGAGACGACTCCGGGTACAGCCCTGTCACACGATCGTCACGATATACATAGGTCACAACTAACACCTCATATTGTAGGACTGTTTAGAGAGAAATGCTTAAGCACTTCTGAGTAGTCCAGTGACCGAGATCTAGATCGCTATCGCTGCATTGGTGAATTGTCAACACACCCATTAGAGCATTTAGACGCAAGGTTAAGTTTGTTGTTTTTGTTTTTTTACTGCCGACACTGCCATTAAATCAGGGTGTAGACAACAACAAACTTCAAACATGACAAACGTGTGTTTTGACTACCAGCCTTGTGCGTATGGTCTATGCTTGTCGAGCAAATGTCACCTAAAGTTTCTTACAGATTACGAACCACTCGGCCGCATTTCTCAGTTTTAATGTGTAAATCCTAATATAATGTATATGTAAAAAAAGGCCGATATGGTTGTGTTACCTCATGACCCTGAGCACTCTCTTCATCTTTGGTTCCCTTATCTCCAGTAATAATAGCCTCAGCTGAGTGTCAAAGTAGAAGCAGCATTCTTTCATCCTCACATGACATCTGCACACACCCCCAGCCCCTACCCTTGGCTTGATCTGTTTAAAGGGACTCACTATCTTTAAATGAATAGTCGGATGAGATTGGTCTCTACCTTCTCCTGTATCATGTTTTTTGTTTCTATATACAGTATCTTCACAATATTCAAAAATAATGCTCACTTTGAGAGGGGAGTAGAGCTGTGACCTGCCACATGCAAAGTAAATATAAATATCACTACAACAGTGAAATATTTAAGCTTTTTTTTTTTGTTGGCTTTCCTGTGTCATGTGATGGGTCTATGGAGTTTTTTTGGAGTTAAGGTAAAGAAAATTGTTTAGATGAAGTAAAGTGGTTGAGCAGGAGAGAGACAGACAGACACAGGGAGGGAGGCAGGGAGGGAGAGGAGGAGAAAAGGAGGCGGTGGGGGAGGGAGGCGAGGCGATGATTGCAGTGCTGCTTGCTCACGAGTTCCTGAAAGGATCATATGACTGGCAGTCACATGCTGCTGGCTCCTGTGTACACACTTCGTGCTGCACTGCAGTGGACACACACACACACAGGCAGGCATACACACCCATGTAGACTATTTACTATCTCCGAATCAGAGTGGCTGCATGAACGCCATTCTGTATGTATTAAAATATAATTTTGAGGACAAAAAAAAAAAGAAAAGAATAAAGTCCCGTGTACAGAAGGCTTTGCGCAATGGGAAACACCCAAATATCCTTTCTGTTTTTTCTGCAAGCTTTATTAGCAACAGGGCCATTACAAGAGCTTTGGTGAAGAGAACACAAACATTCACACCCCCCACCCCCAATTCCCACACACCCAATGCATTCCTCCTCAATAGGCTGCCAAGTTAGGAAGGCACATGACACAGGCTGATTGAGCTCACTACTAAGTTTGCTGTGTACACAAGTTTCACTGGGTCACATTTCTGTGTTTCAATTTGGATTTTTTTGTTTTTACAAGGATTTGCTTCAAAAAAGAATGGTCTCCAGCAAATAGGATTTGATACATGACTAGAAAAAAAATGTTTTCAGTAAATAGCAGCAATAGAACACAAAATGAAACATTCATTCTGTCATTCTCGACAACCCCGTGACTCTTTGTTGCTGCTGTTCACTCCTAACAACAAACCAACAACCAGTTTGTAATTTAACACTTGGGCATTGAAGCTCTGTGCACTTCATCACTTTCACCGTTTTCTTTTGAATAGAGCACCCAGGGCCAGGTGAAGATGTTTGGGAAATGCTGCCAGCTCCGTCCAACAGGTGGCAGCAGCAGTTCCCTGGACAGCTCTTCCTCTTGCACCTCTGATAACAGGGACACCAAAGAGCATGGTCTCCGATACCAGGTAGTACATTGTCCGTCTTCTTAACTGGTATTAACGTGAAAAAAACCCCCAAAAAACTGGGATTAAGATTTTCAGTTAAAATGTGAAATGTGTAAAAATGCTAAAGCTCCGCTCACTTTCTGTTCTTGGGATAACGCGTTAACTTGGCAGAAAGTTAACGCAATTTACTTGTATAATTTATTTTTTAACTTTGTTTTATTGTTACAAGACTTTTAACCAGTTCTTTGCACAATTTGTCAAAACTTTTTTTTTTTTTTTTGGTGCTAGAGAGAAAGACTTACGTTTTTTTAATCTCTTCCGCCCAGGGTTCCAGGTGTTCCTCCGACGTGGTCATGTTGGGTGAGATGATGTTTGGCTCTGTGGCCATGAGCTACAAAGGCTCCACATTAAAGATTCACCAGATCAGGTAAAAATAAGCTTTTGCTTCTTTTGAGTGTCATCGTTTTTTTAAATAGCTGATTCTCAATGACCTTTATAAGCAATAACTGCTGAAATAAGGGGAATTGCGAGGTGGGGGGTGGGGGGTGGCATTAGAAGAAAAATCACATGAGCTGAGCTGGCAGGTTGACGATCTTTGTTCCTTTCTTATCCTGATATCAGATCACCACCTCAGCTGATGCTGAGTAAGGTCTTCACGGCCAGGACTGGAGGCAGTGTGTACGGTAGCCTCAACACGTAAGCACACATTCACACAATGAAATGCCTTTTTTTTTTTTTTTTTCTGACATCTGCACGAGTTCATGTTAGTATTGTGTGGTATCTCAGTGCTGTATTTACCTCTACATTTAAAATCAAACAGGTTACAGGACAGCCTGGAGTTCATTGGACAGGACAGCAACACACCGAAGCCAGATCACAACTCTGGGGCCAACAGTCTCTTAGGGAACATAGGTAAATGATAACAGTTGACCTTTTTAGGTCATTGAAGACAAAGCATCCAGTTTATTCCTGTAATTACAACCGTGAAAGGTCTGCAGGAACTAAGTTAGTCTCCTTATATTTCCAAAACAGTATTTTCATATTGACCGATAAATGATTTCTACCTATATTTGCTTTCAAACAACTCCCAGATAACACCAGTTTGATGGTGTGAGTGTTACGAATTAAATTACTCAGGCGAAGAGCTGCTGGAAGGTTTTGTCCTCTTTGTGCGTTTTCTCTCTCATCCTCACAGAAAAGACCCAAAATACCAACTTCTGATGTAAATACCCAGTGTACAATTTTAACATTTGTTACTGTGTTTTCTGTGAGCGATGCCAGCCCTTCCTGTTGTCGCTTTTTTGCTGGTTGACCTACGTCATGTGTATGATTCTGCTCCAGTCTGAAAAAAAGCCTCTTTAACTGGAGGAGGCCCTGTTCTCATTCACTAACAGTTGTTGATGTGTTCTTTTTTGTTTATCTTTTTCTCCCACCCTCTGTCCTGCTTCTTTCTTCTCCTATGTGTTTTTTGTTTCTGTGCCGCCCAGGATTTTCTCAGCTCTGCAGCCCTCGCCGGGCCTTCTCTGAACAGGGCCCTCTGCGCCTCATCAAAAGCGCGTCTTTCTTTTCAGGTTGGCACTTAAAGACTGGCCATGGCTGATGTGTGGCAGTCACAAATGTGTGTGTTTTTGGGCAGTAGTGATAGACCGCCAGCTGTTGCATGCTTGTGTGGTGAAAGCATGAAGTGCCACAGCCTTTCTATAGATGGCGTGGTTCAGATTATATCAGCAGATATATTTGGCGTCTCAAAAGTGCAAAAGTTAGTGAAAATATATAATTAAAAATATATACTTTGAAAGCTTTAAAAATGATAATTATGTTGATGTCATAACTTTCTTTAGTTTTACCATAGGGCCACATCAAACACAATCATAAATATATCTGCTGGTGAATAAATTAGTTTTACCATAGGGCCACACCAACACAATCATAAATATATCTGCTGGTGTCGTCTGAGCCAGGCTTGCAGTGGTGTTGCATGGGTGCTCACTGGTGTCTGTAGCTGAAGTTATAGCTGTGGTTTCACAGCTCTCTCTGTGCATCCTTTGGTTTTGTGTTCCCCTCCTTTTGTGCCCTAAATATTAAACACCAGACAGTTTATCAATAAACAACACTTTTCAATTATAATAGCCCATAGGTTTAACACCTCCTAAGATTTCAGCGCTAAGCTCAACGGTTATCTCTGTTGAGGTCTGCCTGGCGTTTTCCTCATCGATGTACAGTCCGTGTCGAACAATTGTGGACAGTTGTGATGTCATTCATCTTCATGTTTATACACTGATCATGTCTTAACAGCAGCTTCAGACTATTTCCAAAGTGAAACCGACTTCAACAGAGGAGTTCGTTCAGAATTTAGTTAAATAAGTTCAAATTTACTTAATTCAATGGCAATTACTTTATTTTCAGTATCATCTACATCTCTTGCGCTACACAAAGCAAACAAGCAAACAAAGCAGAATACATTCTGAAGTAACACCTGCACCACTTATTGTGCTAGTGCACATCCTGAGGAAGTGCAGTAGTTTGTTGACTCATACGACAAGTGGCATGGTGAAATGGTCAGGAACAGCAGCGGTGAACACATAAACTTTAACAGTTAATTATGTTCATATTGAAGCCTTTGGTAGATGTTCCCTTTACCATCTTATTACCACACATGTTGCCAGATAATCCACTGTTTGAGGGTAGGATAAGGATTAGAGTGGAACCTCTATGACTTTGTACCTTTACTTTGGCATCGTCTCAGTTCTTTTCAGTGTGCTTTTGTAGTGAGTGCAAAGATCAACTGAAGATCAGTATATGGTTAAGAGAAAATGTGTGTCAATATATATAAGTATGTACAGAATATATATATGTATATGTATATATGTGTATGTATGTATATGTGTATACATATATGTATATACGTACATGTATGTATATACATGTATGTGTATGTATATACATGTATGTGTATGTATATACATGTGTGTTAATATATCTATGTATATACATGTATATGTATATACATACATGTATATGTGTGTGTACATACACATATGTATATTTACTTTAGTATTCCTGTCCTATAAAGCCTTTTAAATATAGGAATGGTGTGAAATATTTTGGGTATTCTTTGCAGAAAGAGAAATGCTCCTGGAGATGATTGATGAGCTGTTCATTGTTTTTTTTATGACAAAGCCATTTGTGTGGGTGTGAGTGTGTGCGGCAGTGCTTTAGGATTGTAACAACATTGCATAACTGTCTGAGCAGGATGCCATGCCAACCTAAGGGCCCTGTACCCTTAAATAAATGTGAGTAAGCAGAATGGCAGACAGACAGGCCGCCATCTGAGCAGCACTCTATGCTATGGTATACACTATAAAGGAATAAAAAAACAAAACAAAAAAAAAAACACGCCATCTGCTATGTGATTGACCTGTAGTGTTTGTAACAGCGTGTTGTATCACAGTGGTATCCGCAGATGGGGACACGCTGTGGTCAGTTAGCAGGATGTTGTAACAACACTCTGCTTTCTTGTGACATTTCCCGTCACACAGGTTGTGCCAATGTCATGTGTACTAATTGATAAAAGGTTCAAATGGCTGTGTGTGTGCGCTGTGTGATGTGTTTGGAGGGGAGTGGTGGCTTAGTGGTTAAGGAAGCGGACTTGGGTCCGGAAGGCTTCAGGTTTGAATCCACCAGCTGCCAAGTTACCACTGAGCATGGCACCATCACACTCACTGCTCCCCCGATGCTTAAAGCTGCCCACTGTTCACTTTAGTGATAGGTTAAAAGCAGAGGTCACATTTGGTGGTGTGCTGTGTCACAGTGACAAAGTAACTATAAAGTAGTTCATCTTTTATTATATACATTATTTTTGTTAATATTTATAGAAGTCAACATGGACGCCACAAATGCTGGTATATTTGTATCATTTATTATGTTTTTGCACTTGACTGTATGGCTTTTCACTGTGTTTTTTCTAAACCACAAACCGCGCAGGACGACTGTATATGTCGTTAGTGCCCGTGGTGGTGATCACGGCGTCTCACCTCAACTTATATCTATGCCCTTAGACCTCAACCGTGCTCCGCCTTAACCTTTGCTTTTACACAATTTTTTTTATGTTCTGTTTCAAGCTTTCTGCTGTTTTTTTTTTCCTAGGACGCAGTCACCCCATGGACATGCCTGGCCGTGGACCGTACGATGAGCGGGACAGCGGCATCGCCAGATCAGGTAGGAATCCAAAGCCTGGATTGACCTGCACTCATGAAAGCCACGGTCTTAAATGGTTAAAACGGGTTTTCACTAATTCGTGTCAAGGCTATTAAGGAACAGAGACGATGAAGTTAAAAGCATTAGACACTGAATTGTTTTTGTGCTTTTATAATCTCAGATAATTGTCGGTTCTTATAATCATGTTGCTTTGAGAGGAGTGAGGAAATAACAAAAAATAATGCAAGTAATTGCAGTAAAAAAAAAAAGACAGTATTTAAGTTGTTAACCTCTCCGTAAACTTCAGATTACGTTGCACAGTGAAAACGGAACACTAACCCTGTTCTTACATCATGCTCACACACCTCACACACGTTCACTACACACAAGATCAGGCACGGTCTTAATGGCTCATGTAAGTGTCGACCAATGCCTGCTGCCCAGGCTGTAAATAATCCTCTCATTAAGTCTTGCTCCGTGTGCATGCGCGGTTTGTTATGATGTCATGACCATGTCTGTCTGTAAAGCCTGGAGGTGAATAGGTGCATTATGTGACTAAACACCAACTGTGTTAGATCTGACATTGAAGCCTTAAATATTAGATGTTACTTTCATAAGTGCTATGTAATTGTGTGTGTGTGTCCTTTTTAGTAACCGTGTTGCCGTTGTTGAATTATTCATTTCCAACCGTTCACTCTCTCTGCTTATCTCCCCTATTGTTTTCTCCTCTTCCTCCCATCAGCGTCTCTCAGCAGCCTGTTGATCACTCCCTTCCCGTCTCCCGGCTCCTCCCAACCCAGCAGCTGTGCGTCCAGTTACCAGCGCAGATGGCTGCGCAGCCAAACCACCAGCCTGGAGAACGGTGTTTTTCCTCGATGGTGAGCAGGCTACAATTACACGTTTGAACCAGATTCTTGTTTTGTTTTTGTTTTTTTCCCTCTGTTGATCCTTAAGACAGAACAACAGAAGTATCAGGATATCACAACATATACTGACCCATCTCTGCCCTTCATTATCACCCATTCGTGTCTGACTGTACTGTTATAATTATTTATTAAAATTAATTTTTCCCTTGTCAGGACCAAAGCTTTGGTCCTAAAAAGGCAGCAGATATCAGCAAACATGCCCACACAAAGCATTCGGACCAGCCCTTGTGTTGTCTTTGACATTTGTAAACGCAGCTGTCAGCCTCTGAGTGACCTAATCTTTCAGGCGCTGCAGTCCAACAACAAAACATCTCTGTTGTTTACTAACCGCTGCAGCCCAAAATGTCCAGGTTTTTCCTATACATTCTCGCCTTTTTTATTGTGGCTCAGCTGTATAATGCATTTACTTTTTACTAAAATTCCAAGGAAAGTAAAAACGGCATTTGTGTTTGTATTACACTGACTCCTCCTTATATTGTATTACCAGGTCGGTAGAAGAGAGTTTCAACATGTCCGATGAAAGTGGGGCGCCGAGCTTGGGTGTAGCCCGGAAAAAGAAGATCGCCATCGGGGTCATCTTCACGTTGTCGCTCAATCCAGAGGAAAACAACCGCTTCCAGGAGTTCTTCTTCTCCCACTTTCCTCTCTTTGAAAGCCACATGAACAAACTCAAGAGCGCTATTGAACAGGTGAGAGGGTTCACGATGCCGGTACGATTTTGAATCTAGATCAAGCCTATTAAATATAAACTAAACCATTGGTTTGACATGTGCACGTTTGGTCAGATAAACATGTCATTTTAGCTCAGGGGGGTATAAATAAAAACCAAAAGTCAACTCTATCCCCCATGGTTGCCCTTTGTAATGAGCAGACCTGCTGGCAGATTAAGTGTTCAGCAGCACATACCCTTTATATCTGCAGCTCTGTTCACTGGCACAGTCGCAGCTGGTAGTGACGTGCAGTTGTACGCTCCACATTCCCCCCCCCTCCTCCCTCCACATACTTCACCTCTGTCCCTTATTCGTGGCTCCACCTTTCTTGTAGCTTTGTTTTTCAGCATCTGTGCCAAAAATTAAAAAAATCCTAAACCATGTCTGTGTTATGTCACTCTCCAGGCCATGAAGATGAGTCGACGGTCAGCTGATACCAGCCAGCGGGCCTTGGCCTACAGCCGAATGGTGGACGGACTTAATGAGTTCAGGTTGGGCAACCGTTTTTGTTGACACGAGAGAGACATTTTGGTTTTGTCATGTTATAAAAAAAAATTATTCCAGGTATATTATGATTAAGGAAAGGTATGGAAAAGCTAAGGAAGTCTAGGTCATGGTGTTATTCATGTCACTACCATTTGGGCAGCTTTACTGACCTGAGAACTATTTTACACATGCATGTCGTTCCAAGTGCACATTGTTGAGGCAGTGTATTTTCCAGGTAACATCTGACACTGATCAGCTCCAGTGTCTTTTAAAGTATAAGAAGCATTCCATCCATCTCTGACGTCAATGAGAGGAGGAACGCTTCAAGTATTTCCTAACGAGTCAGCGACACTTGGAAACGTCGCAGTTATTGTTTATTTTAGGCTCCAGCTCCATACGCCAACTTTCTGTTCATCTTTTTTTTTTTTTTTACCACAGATAAAAACTAAGTGGTGCAAAATAATAATAATTTATCACCACAATATTATACAGCTTTTACTTCAAAAACGACCAAAGTAATTAGTAGGGCTGTCAAACAAAAATAAAAGGTGGTTTAATCAGGATTAATCGTTATCATAATAAATCATGATTAATTGTTATCATTATTAATCTGGATGAGTCAACATTCCTAAATATAACAGGAAAGAAAACAGAACAGAAAGACAAACAACAGCCTGCCGTTTGTTTCAAATCCATTTTGTTTGATTAATCCAGCCCCCACTGCATTTCACTGCAACGTGTGTAAATAACCAAACGTGAATCGACGGTGTGCATTCGAGCAACGCTAAATGAAAGTGTTTTGTGGAGATGACGATGATGAGGTCACGTGGCTCCATTTGAACTTTTTTTTTCACAACCGTCGCTTTTTAGCTTGTCTAAAAATTAATTTACAGCCTATCGTAACTAATAGTAATAGTTGACTTGTAATAAAATAAATATACAGTTTTATATAATATAAAATATATTATTATAAAATATGGATATATTTTATTATATATATAATATACTATATAATATAATATTATAAAATATATAAATATATATACATATATACATATATAAATATATATATATATTTATATAAATATAAATATATACTATAAAGTTATAGTAATTTACCTTATCGCTGAAAATTAAATCACACATGCTGACTTATTAGGTCAGCCCACTCACTCAGAGCACACTGCTCTTCCTATTGCGTATGTGCACACATACTCGTCTCTCGCTGCTAACTGGTGGGCACTCGCCTGTCTGAGGTCCCCTCACTGCTGCGGTCATATGCCTGTTGGCGGCCGGCCACAGTAACCCAAGCCTCATGAGTGGCAACCTTATCTACCTCAGCCACTGGCCACAAGCACCAGAATGATAAATAATCCATGAGTGCCGGCGGATAAAACGCAATTGCGCAGGACAAACAAAATAAAAATCTCACCTTCACATGGCAACTAAATATATAAAGTCGAGCCAACTCTTAGTGTATTGACTTCATGGAACTTTACAGGAGGAAAAGGGGAAGAAATGCCATTAGCTTAATGCTCTGACGTAGATAGAGGGCAGACCCACACATTGCGCTAAAGATAAGGTGCATTTTCTGCAGAGGCACACGCACGTAAAAGTCAAAAGAGGTCACGTTTTGTGACGGCTTGGAATTTTCAGCATTCAACACTTAACGCAGACTATTTTTTAAAAATAAACACTTAGGCCCAAAAACATGCTAGGCTGTTTGTTATTGACGTAGCCCATAACTTGAGATCATCATCGGTGCCCTTGAATTTTAACCTTTACAGAAGCAATCTAGAGACTAGATCTCCCACGTACTTCGCACTGGCTCAGTCTCATGCGTCCATCCACACGGGCTCTCAGTGCATCAGTCCACACCAGACACTGTGGGGTCAAGAGGAGCTTAAAAAGACCACACAATTACTGCCCTGTTTGTAACACAGGGAGGAATAAAGCTTTATGAAGTGATATGACACTGCTGTCAGAAAGACAGGTCAACGCTGCTCCCCTGCTAACAATGATGTTGGAAAATCCTCACCACCGTGCCACTGTTCTATTTTGGCATAAGTTCTAATCTCACTAATGCAGTTTAAGCTTGGTGCTGCCACTTCTAGGTCCTCATATTTAATTAAACACCTTTTTCCCCTAAAACCCATTAATTGGCCCACAAACCAATGTGTTCAGTAAAGATCAAAAAGGTCATATTGTTTACAGTAGGGGGTGTCAAACATGCGGCCCGGGGGCTGGAACCGGCCCGCTACGGAGTTCAATCCGGCTTTATGAATTTTAAAAATGAAGAAAAAAAAAAAAAAAGAAATACACAAATTTAATTTAATTTCATGTTCAGGATAATTTTTTTTGTAAAATTATATTTCATTAAATTTTAATAAATATTAATAAACATCTAATATACTTGAACATGAAAACAAAGGGAGAAAACATGGACTAATTGTTTATTAAAGTTAATTATTTTATCATTGTACCTGGTCCGGCCCACTGATATCTAATTAGTATGCGGCCCGTGAACCAAAATGTTTACAGCATTTGCTAAGATTTTTTTAAATCCCTGGTTTGCCTCATCAGTATGAGGCACTGAACCAGCAAACAAGGGATTAAAGCAGGTAGTTACAGTTTCCTTGTCTGCTTTGAAATCATATACTTTTTATAGATATACTATATATAGAACTGAAACGAAATGTGTTCAAGAAACCTACTCCGTCCAGTTGCCCTCCGTCACTATTTTTGCATATACTCACCAAATAAATAATAAAACACCAAATTCTGAAATGTGTCTAAATAGTAATAAACACCAAATTCTGAAATGTGTCTAAAATCATAGAAAACAATTATCCATATTTCTTTATGAAAAAAATCATCATCCATTTTGGCCCCTAAAACGTCTGATTCTTTACATTCCTCATGCTGCAGTGATTCCCCCTCGGCCCCTCTGTGTCAAAGCTTGGCCCGTGGCCGAGACATGCTCACCAACGTTCCATGGAAACTCCACTCCTTCTCAATTGACAAACGCCCAGTTTGAGACGCATACAGATAGATACAGACACACACACACACGGCACAGAACGACAGACAAGGCTGTGTGAATGTGTGCGCGAGTATGTCAGGCACACACACACACACACACACTTACACACACACACGGGGTCTCCCATGGTCACAGTTGCAGACAGCAAAGCTCTGTTAACTGAGATCTCTTTTGTTCACCCCAGGGGACAATCACACTTCTGTCCTATCTGTCTGTTTTCTCTCTTTCCCCTCCTTCTCTTTCATACATTCTCTCCATGCCCCGTCCGTCTCTCATCGCTCCCCCCCACCCCCCTCTTGTTTGTTCCTCATCTCCAGGATGACCATCTGTGACCTCTACACCATGCCTCGAGTGGCTGAGCCTGTCTGGTTGACTATGATGTCTGGCGTGTCAGAGAAGAACCAGCTCTGCGGTCAGTTCATGAGGGAGCTTTCACTTCTGATGGAGCAGGCCTCCAAGAACCAGTTGAGTATTTGGTTACTTTTTTAAAATCCCAGTACACACTCAAGACACTCAAGACTGTCATTTCTGTACGTTAAAAATGTCAACAACAATCTTTTTATCTTTTTGGTCTTCCACACAAAGAAAGACTCATAAACGCTATTCATTTTCTGTCCCCCCCACACACACACACTTTCTAAAGTCTCCCACACTCTCACACACAGAATGTCTCACCCTCTCCGCATTTACTGGTCTGCCTCAGAGCGGAGCTGTGAATGAGACAATCCCTGCCAGTTTGTAACGACTTATTGTTGCAGTTACAAAGCCATAAACAAACCACTGCCTGGTGATGTCTGGTTTGAAGTTTTTATTGAACATCACACTGGTACAAAGCAGGACTGATGAAAAAGAATTCACCGGGTTAAAGTGAATAGGCGCTGTAAGTTCATCGTTAAGCACAGCATTAATTCCGAACATAAAAAAAAACCCGACCTACGCTGCTCTTGCTAACATCTAAAGATCCTGAGCACTAACCCCGACCTACGCTGCGGTTGCTAACATCTAAAGATCCTGAGCACTTTAACCTCCAACTCTTGCTTAATCTGCCCTCAAACAACCCTGTGACCACAAAGATTGCGTGGATGTCGTTTGTAAAATGATTAAAATTTACGGCCCTAACAATGAAAACAGGGCAGAGTAGTTACTGGATTACGTTTTTTTTCTTCACTATTTACAGCCTAATTGCTAGCTGTGGGAGATAATTCAGTGGCCCAGAGATAAAATAGACAAATAATTGTACCTGCTTGTATACAGAGAGTACGGGTGTACTTGAGCACAGGCTGACTGATACTCGCTGACTCAGATCAGTTCACTAGCTAAGCAACAAAAAACCTAAAAAAAACCCCGAAATGTCTAAATTTAGATGCATATTCAAAAGGAGATGCAAAAAGGACCAAAACCAGGTAATGGTTGACCCCTTTGATCAACTGCGAGTCTTCAGTTGATTAAAATAGCATTCCAGGCAACCGGTGATGTTTTTTTACTTTTAGTATCACTTCACAGCTTTAGTCATAGTTTCTACCACTTTTGAACTTTGGTGACTCCATCTCTATGGTAGTCTACTCCATCACTGCCTGCAATTTGGTCTTTGTCATGAGGTGTCGACTCGCTGTATGTCCCATGACTGGAGCTTTCGATGACAGCGGCTTTTAAAACAGCTTAGAAGTACAGAGAGGTTCACCATTTGTCATGAAGCAGGAAGGGAAGTAGACATTTGTGGTCAGTAGGGGGAAGCGAGTCACTGTCGCACAGTGTGTGCATACGTGCAAGTTCTTTATTACTGTATCGGCATGGGAACGAATGTTCCAAACAACAGACAAGTGTTTGTTTGTGCGTCTGGTTCCACAAGAACAAGACCGACTTAAGATTTTCCAACTAATGAAGGAACAGCCGACCCACAAAAAATGTCTAAAGGGAACTGGAAATAAAATATAAACATTTGTCTGCTGATTTTTGTCTGACCAAACCTGGTCTATCATTCTAGATTTCTTCCCGCCTTATTGACCGCCATCTTGACTAATCACTTGGCGTGGGTCCCCACTGTCATGCCCAATGGACAGCCCCCGATCAAGATTTTCCTGGAGAAACACTCCTCTCAGAGTGTTGACATGTTGGCGAAGACGCACCCTTACAATCCGCTGTGGGCGCAGCTAGGTGAGAGTAAAACACACGTCTACGCACGTACACAGCTGAGAGTGAGGCGTAGAAGTGTCTGGCTCCAGGGAAAGTCCCGTAAAATGTATGTTTGTTCTTCAACCTGATTGATGCGCTTCCACAAACTTCCATTGTTTGTTTATGATGTTGGTAGCTGAGGGAAGAGCAGATAATCTTCTCTGTCCACAATTAAAATAGGCTGTTGTTTTGAGTGCGAGTCACAAATGTTCTTGATTTTGAACATTTTAATTCAACAAATTGATATGCAGCGTTTGCTTATATATCGACCAGCGTCTAGATAGTTAAAGTAGAGTTGTATGATTTAGTTTGAATTATTTACTTAAATTTTTTGAATAAATAATTGTAAGGCACATAAAATTGTTGTAAAGAGCAGCTCGCATGAATAACTCGAAAACATTTCATGTTACTATGCTGCCCTCTAGTGGATGCGGTTTAGAACTACACGTGTTTGTATTATGAAAAGTTTAAAAAAAACATACTAACAGGAATATTAGGAAGAAACAAATGGATGATAATATTCAGCGTATCATTGTACATTATCATGTCCTTATCTAATCTATATTATTTCATTTATAATTTACTGTCAAGTAATGCCTGCTGCCTTGACTGTAAATCAGTCCGACAAGTGGTGGTCACCGTTGTTTTCTTGTCACGTTCAAAGGTGACCTGTATGGCGCTATTGGTTCACCGGTGCGGCTTTCGAGGACGGTGGTGGTCGGCCGTAGACAAGAGCTGGTCCAGAGACTTCTCTATGTCCTCACCTACTTCATCCGCTGCTCGGAGTTGCTGGAGACACACATGCTGGACACGGCTGAGGACGAGGCCATCGTCATGCCCGGCTCCCTCATCACAACCTCTCTGAGGAAAGGAGAGGTGGAGGAGTCGGACTACGTCTTAGTCACTGTCCACAAACCCACGGGGGACTACTTGTCCCAAGGCGCAGACGGTGGTCAGAACGAGGCAGAGGACAGCAGCTGTCCGTCGCATAACAGCCTCCAGAGCAGCACATATACAGACAGTGAGGTGGGCAACGGTGTTGAAGATGCACCAAAAGAGGAGGAAGATGAGGAGGAGGAGGAGGAGGAAGAAGAGGAGGAAGAGGACAGCAGTGAGAGTCAAGGGTCAAGGAGCAGTGTCCTTCAGACAGGTCACAGTCAGGATACAACCACTGCATTAAGGACTACAGAAGACGAACCTCAGGAGCTGCGCGTAGAGTCCAGCAGCCCTGTAGGTGCAGAGCCTCGACTGGAGACTGTGCTGCCTGTCGGCTCCGCCTCCTCCTCCAGGGATATCCTCCAGATATGTGCGGATACAGAGACCAGGGCTGAGCTAAAGCTAATCGTCCCATCAATACCCGCAGCTCTTGCGAGTCCAACCCAAACACCCCCTACGGAGCGCAGGTGCTCTGGGAACCCTGCCACCAAAATGCCTATTCCTTGGCCTTCAGGAATCCCTACAGAGAAGAAGCCTCCAGATAGAAACGCGGCTGCAACCATACCCGTGCCGGTGGTACCCGGAAACAAGGTGGGCTTTAGCCTAACCGAAGGGGAACCAACCACAAAAGTCACTTTCCTCATCGGAGTCTCCATGTCTCCTGAGTCAGACACGGAGAGCTGCAGACGGAGGATGGAGGACGAGATACGGAAACACAAGAAACACCTCGCTCACTCCAAGGCCAGCAGCAGCGGTGCGACGGAGGACCAAAGCAAACAGACGAAGGCCGCTTCAGCCCTGCAGCGGGTGTCCAGTCAGATGCCCAAGTGGAACCCAAGCTGCATGGATGATTTTGACGAGTACTTCAGCCCGGAGAACCCCGTGGAGACGAGGACGATAGACGATGTGGCCAAACATCAGGAGGCCAGGACATTAGACAGCACGCACAAAGACTTGTTGGATCCTTCAGGAATCCCACAGTGTGGTCAGTTTACAGGTCACAGCTCCCAGAATGCCGTCAAGACTCAGGGTCTGGGACTCTGTTTAGGTTCGGACGGCACACAGGCTGGGTTTAGCAGGAAGGGAGACGCTCTGTTGGATGTGCAGAGAAGGTGCAGGTGTGGGTCTACAGACTCCTCTGAAGCGTGCTGCTGTAGGGGCTGTTCTGCTGAGCAGGACAAGGCTCTTATGTTGTCAGTCCCTGTTCTGCCGGATGGAAGTGGCAACAGCAGAGAGGACCAAAAACACAAAGTGGTTCCTGTCAATGACTGGGAGATACCGCGCAACGAGAGTTCGGACAGTGCACTGGGAGACAGCGAGAGTGAGGAGACGGAAGACTGGCAGGAGGAGGTGCTGCTGCCCTTCCCTGGGTGAGTAGGAGAACTGCAACAATGACATGTGCAATTGAGTAAACAGCCAGTATTTCAGTAGTAGTAGTATTTACGTAACATTTGTGTTTTCTGAGAATGTGCCTTGATTAAATTGTGAGGTTAAGAAGTATTGATTTGTCAAAGGTGACTCGTTAAATGGGTTTATTAAATTATGAATTAATTTGTTGACAATTCTAACGCATAAGCAGAATGATGACACATGTACATCCAATAATTCCAACATTTCTTTACTGAAACGCCTCCAACTTGAAACACCATCTAAATACCCAGCATGCATTTTTCTAGGCTTCAACTTCAGGACAGACACATGGCTAGTATCAGCCGCATCAAGACATTAAGTCAGTCTACGTTCGATGAGCTGACTGACAAGTGACTAGATGTTGATGTATTTCGATCAATCATGACTGATTAATAACGATTAATCGTCAATAATCAGATTAGGAATTTTAATCCTTTGACTGCCCTTGTTTTCTCAGTTGTTTACATCGACATTGTATGTATATACAGCAGTAATGACGAATATTATATTCGTTGTTTAATTCACAGGTCAAAGTTGGTGGAAAACTACTCCAAGCCAAGCATAGCCAACTTTGGCAGATCTCTGTTTGGAGGCTACTGCCCCACCTATGTGCCAGACTTTGTACTGCATGGGATGCCCAGTGATGAAAAGCTTCGACAAAGCCTCATGTCTGAGTTAGGTCACGCTGTTCAGGTAAGAAAAGTACAGATTAAGGTGAAGTGAAACCATGTTGCCAAGCCTGTCATTTGTTTTTTTTTTAACATTTCTTATTGTATTCTATAGCATTCTGTATTGGATGAGCCCATAGCCGAGGCCGTTTCTATAGCATTCAGTATTGGATGAGCCCATAGCCGAGGCCGTCTGCATTATAGCAGACACAGACAAATGGACAGTCCAGGTGGCCAGCAGTCAGAGACGACCAACCGACATCAACAAGCTGGGAAAAGAGGTCTTGGTGTCCAACCTGGTCTCCAGCCTTCTACAGTCCACGCACCAGCTCTACAAACTCAACCTGTCACCAAACTTTGTAGGTTACACCAACGAGTGTGTGTTTTTATCTGGAAGGTTTTCAACAAAGATGTTTCTGTCCTTAACCATTCCTGCCTTCTTCTTCTCCTCCTATGCCTCTTTAGTGCATCATGCACCTTGAAGATCGACTGCAGGAAATTTACTTCAAGAGTAAGATGCTGGCAGAGTATTTAAAGGGTCAGACAAGAGTCCACGTAAAAGAACTGGGCATGGTTTTAGGGTAAGTGTAAATTTTTTTTTTATTTTGGGAGCTGTACAGATCCAACAGTCTGCCAGAACATTAATCAAACAATAAATGAATTACTAGTTTAAGAAACTTCATTTATTTATATTTGTAGTTATACTTCGCACAATGTTAAATGTATAATTCAGAACACAGATGTGTCAAATTTTGGTTTGTTATTGTTTCTCTGATGTTGTGAAACTATGGTAATCTCGTCTTGCGATACTGCCACCTGCTGGATCTATTGTTTACTTCCTCACCTGTTCAGATCACTGATGAGAAAACGCTAACCACTAACCAATTAAACATGTCTCGCCTGACTTATTCATTTTAAATTATTATTTTTTTATTGTTAGCATGCTATGTCATGCTTTATCCTAAAAGTTTAAGTTTTAGAGCAAAAATGTAGATGAAACACCAGGTAAATAGGAACTGTTTAAAAACATATACTAGCACTCAAATATATGAAGCAAAAATCTATGTGTAATGTACCAGCTCCTCCTGCTGGCAGTTTTTGGACACTGCACGAAAGCGGTTGTGCAGAAAATACGTTTTTTTATCCCATTTCGGTTGAAGGTATTCAAGTCCAGCTCTTATGTTTTGCAGAATCGAGTCCGGCGACCTCCCCCTGTTGGCTGCTGTGGCCAGCACTCACTCCCCCTATGTGGCTCAGATCCTACTGTGACACAGCAAAGACACCAAGGTCTGCAGGCAGCCTGAAGGAAATCAATCAGACATGAGTACTGATGACACTCTGGTTCAAAGACACTGGGTCAGAGGTCAGCAGCCATACCCCCACCCCTGATCCCGGTGAGGTTCTGTCTCTCACGACGCCAGGGCTCAGAGGGATCTTTGCCCTGTGCTTGAGCTGTGTCCGTCTCTGTGGACCACAGCTAACGGCTCCTCTACCTACTAGCACTGCTGTTGAAACTGGAGCAATACTGATGTTGCACCACATCCGGGGATGAGGCTGTCATATGAAAGGGAACTCTGACGATGAAGGGAACATCCTGACATGACCTTCTCCCGTACTTTTTCAATTTTTCTTTTTTTTTTTTAAACTAAGATTTAAAGGGACTCACTTTTTGAAAACAAAAGCCAAAGACTTTTATTTTTCATTTTCCCAGTGGAAAAAAGGTGAAATGAAATTTACGTGACCTGACGTTAACAACAAGTTGCATTTTCTGCTCTTTTACTGTACAATCGTAAACTCACTGGTGATAAGTCAGTTCAAGGACAAGAGCCTTTTTTTAGACTTTACTTGGAGGTAAATATCACTGAGCACATTTTTCAATCCTTACTCCTATTTTGTCGTTCCTTTTTGTTTTTTGTTTACATGCTTAATTTCCCTAAGATTTTTTTTTTAACATACCTGCCAGTTAGATATAATTTGCCAAATTTCACTGCATCTTTGATTTTAATACCAGTTTTAGAGAGGAGGTTAACACCACCAGTGGTTTTGACGTCTGTTATCATAGGATCAGCTCTACCTCAGATCTTCATATGGGCTGTGATTGAGTACGAAACCACCAGGAAATACTTTTTAAACTTTTTAAATCAGTCATGTCGGAGAGAAAAAAAAAACTGTGTAAACTGGATGCTGTGTTCTTTAAGAAAGGGAAAAGCTGTTTCATTCTTTAGGATGATCCTATATAAGAAAAAAGAAAAAAAATTACACATCAAAATGCAAATAAGATGGTTCCCTTTCTACTGTGGGTTAGCAACAATGCACCATCTTTGCATATTTTAGAACTAAATGCTGAGATATTTTCACACTTTCACACTAGCTCTGCCACCTTTTGTATGATGTTTACAGCTGCTCCGCGAAGAAAGGCAGACGTAGCGCAGCAGGCCTTGTAGTTTGTACGTTCGTATCAGTTATTGCGATTTCAGTCAAAAGCAACGTCTTTGTTGTTTTTTTCCCCCTTTATAAACCCAGTTTGTATTAGAGAGAACGAGACACTTTGCTTGTTTTGAGTTCAAAGAAGCATTATTTTTGTTTTTCTCAGACGGATTTATTTGTCAAACGTTGACAGCGTGGAAGATCCATTCATCAGTCCTGCGTTTGGTGGCAGAACAAATAGAGTAAAACCTGTCCCCGTGAGCGAGTGCATCATTTATGAAGACGGAGCGGAAGTGCCGAGTTTCAGTAGTACACACATCCATATTCTACTTTACCTCTGTGCTGCATATTGCCTCCATTGCAGAGGAAGTACAGAGAGAGAGAGAGATATTTTTTTTACCAAGTGTGTAGCTTTATATAATTTGAAACTTTACCATTAAGTTCACAAATCTCTATATGTCCTACTTAAAAATTAGATTGTGGCTCAGGCGTGTCATTTGGTAGCAAAGTTTGCTGATGGTCTATAAGTCAAACTGTACACTGACTGAGAATCAGTCACTAGAAAATACCGGAATTCCTGGTAGTGCAATGCAGAGAAATATGAACAGTGATTGTCTTTATTTTTATAGCTAAGTCGCATCCGGATATTATAACGTAAGTCTTAACGGAGAAGTGACATGGAGTCATTGCAGGCTTCTGGAGAGCTTGTTTTGCTGGTATAATTGATAGATAAATATATATATACACACACACACACACACACACACACACACACACAGTACATGCTTGTTACTGCATTGGAGATGCTCGCCAATATCAGTCTGCATTTTTGTACAAACCAGCCATTATGTTTAAAAAGGTATACATTTATATCTGCTTTTCCTTTGTACACAAATAAATTATTTAGTTCCTCCTGTTATGTTTAACGGTTTGCGTAAACTGTACATAAACTCAGTTCATTTCCATGTATTTGTACAGAATGTCTTTAAAGTCTGCTCAAATTATTTTCCCAATTTTCTGGGAATGTTGTGCAATAAAAATGCCCATGTTGAGAATGCTGTCTCTCACAGATTCCTGTCCCCAAACCAAAGAAAGATGGTGAGGTTTAAATATAAAATAATGTATTAATCTAATGTAGTAAAGATAAACCAGGTATATTTTTGTTACACCGTTTTCACTTTTGGACACTTGAAGGTATTCAAATCCAGCTCTTATGTTTTGCAGAATTGAGTCCAGCGACCTCTCCCTGTTGGCTGCTGTGGCCAGCACTCACTCCCCCTATGTGGCTCAGATCCTACTGTGACACAGCAAAGACACCAAGGTCTGCAGGCAGCCTGAAGGAAATCAATCAGACATGAGTACTGATGACACTCTGGTTCAAAGACACTGGTTCAAAAAACTGAGACATCGATTATTTCATTTTAAGGCGAGGGCTGGCAATGACGTTAGCACCATCCTTGTTGGTGTTTAAGCCCCAAACGTGTCCTGTAATCATTTCATTACTGTACCACAACAACCACATATCAGTTAAACTGCAGAACCTGGTTCCGTTGTGATGAAGCAGCTTCAGACTTTCATTTCCTCACTTGTCAGATTAGCAGCTCTGGTTTCTTGTCTCCATTCCCACGAACAATCAGCAAACGTCTCATGATTTTGTAGTTGTCACATGTGCATTGGCCTTAAGTTGCACGGTTTATTCTAGTCAGGCAATTATACTGTCCTTTACGTTACGCACCATAATGGCAAGCCCATAAACTGTCAAAAAGAAAGAAAGAAAGAAAACCTCTAAATGAGTGCAAACTGTACCAAAATAGCGCACTATTTATACTGGAGGTGGCCTGACTCGCACTGCTCACCATCTGGATCACGCCTTAATCCCGGCTGCAAAAACTCCGCCTTGTACTCCTCCTAGCGGCACAAGAGGGAATACAAAACAAGCCCACACACTGCTGTTATGCAATAAAATAAAGGAGTGTCAGGGCTGTCGGCTGAAAAGAAAATGAATGAACAAATAATTTATAAAATGTTAAATGTCAACTCACAATTACATGAATGAAATTTATTAGATTAAAGTCGGATATCAGCTATTTATAATAAACAGCAAAAAACCCCAACAGGGTTCGTATAAAGCCAGAGACGTCATACGCTTAAGTAAAATTAAGTTTAGAATTGCACAATAACGTAGTTATTGCGCGTTTTGAGGAGCAACTGCTCGTGGTTGCGCCTGAACTGTCACAAGGCAGAGGGTGGTTGTGCTGCGTTTAAGGACTCTTCAAGAGCTCGTACAAAACAGCGTCATACAATACATTTGATGTAGATTGCGCTTCAGATATTACAAACTAGTTCCACATCATGCACGGGGTGGTGTATTTTTAAATAATGCTGTTATTGTGACACGACTTCAGCAGTGGTACTTTATTGATAGTACAGTCGTTGTTACAAGCCCTGGAACCTGGATAAAGTATAATTGTTAAATATTTTTCGACAGCTCGTAAATGCAGCATCCTCTCGGGGCAGACAGATGTCGTCAACTCTCCACTCTCACGTCTAAGGAGGAGGAGAGTGAGGAGGGATCATGGAAATCTGAACTCCTGGATCTAAGTGACTGGCGGTAGCGACAGAGTTGGGTCTTTCCGTCTACCAAAGATGTACACAGTTCCAGAGAGGAGGCCTCGTCCAAGGAACTTTCTGTCACAGAGTTTTTCTCAACTGCCGAAGCTGAAAGTTTAGTTTTCAGTCTTTTGCTCCGTCCTCCTCGCTCCTGGAAAAGAAGGAGCTCCAGGAGCTCCGTGTTGAAGTTAACTCCATTCATGTTCAGCTCAGCGAGGACTAAAACCACGGAGATGTGATTTTTGTTTTGCTGTAAAGCAGCGAAGGTGGAGGAGACGACATTAAATTTCAAGTTGAAGTCTCGAGGTGCGTTTGAGCCGAAGTTATGAAAATGACCGGAGCTATGGAAACTTCTTTCAAACTGGCTTTGAAGAAACCGCCCTCGCTGCGGACCGCAGAGGTAAACAAATCCATCGTCTCTTCAATTAGCAGTGCTCGGCTAATGTTAGCTAGAAAAAGTCAAACTGTTGCTTTAGTTTTACCGTTTTAAAACTCAACTTTGGTGTTAGTCAGTGGAGTTTGACTGAGAACCGAGTATTAATTTACACGTGGACAGATTGGACATCATTGTACTCTTACTTTTAGTAGTTTTATTAAGTCCCCTTAATTAGTAACGCTTACATGTCTACATAATGGAACTATAATCAGTACTCAGTACAGGTCTGATCACATAAATGTGTTGTAAATTGTCTTATACTACTAATAATAATATTACCACGTATTGTCATTAATAATATAAACCGTGACATTTGTTTATGCTGAACTTTTCATGCAGGGAATTCAATGAAAAAAAAATCCCCTATAAAATTTAAGTAAATATATATTTCAAAATGAAATTCATCTGAATGTCAAACTAAGGGGTTTGGTCATAAAATCATATTTGTTGGTGGTTGGTGGCTGTCTTGTGTTAGTATGGTTTTTAATATTTAATATAAAATCTATCCATGAATTCATTACCAGCAAATGTTATGTATTTCTTCATCAAATATTTGCTTCATAAAATAATGGCCTTACCATAAAATAAAATTAAAAAAGCTCTCCTTAAATAAGAACATTTGATGGGCAGGTCTGGTTATTGGGATGTTTGCTTAAAAAATTGAGTCCAGAGAAGGAATTATTATTATTATTTATACTTTGGAATCCCAACTGATGACCTAGCAAGGAAGTGAAGGACATATGAAATTCAAGTATTAAATTACGCTGTGTCACTGACATGGCTTAAGGGGTCCTCCATTTTTTTTTTATTAGTGCAACAGTCACAAATCAATCGGTTACTGTCAACTTTCTCAGACTGAAGTCTTCTCTGACTGAAAGCATGTCTTTGAATATGGACGCATAACAAGGCAGCTGGAAGTTTGGCAAGTCACTCTGTCTCTTGCAACAAATGTCCACAGAGAAAAACATGTCTGTGTTTTAGGTCAAGGGGACACTGGATCTGTTAGTCCACTTCTGTGAAGTTTGTTAATTTTGTGCCCCTCAACTCCTAGGTGGTCAGCAGTTGATTGAGAACCCAGGCTGTTAATGGCTAGTACCTCAAAAGAGCAGCACTTTTAATACAGTCTGATTGTGTACTTGAAATATTACAACTATAAAAAAAATAGGAGCTTCAGGTTTATTGGGCTTTTAAATTTTTTTCCCATGCAAAATCCAGCAGTATTTAAAAACCGAGAACAGTCCCTTTAAGTATGTGCAAACCCTATCCTGACGCACAGCGTTTCTGTTCTGCAGATTAAGCCACAGTATACAAAAAATCACGTCACTGCTTTCTGTCACGGGGCTTATATTACAGAGCCCCGGAGAAAGTTAGTGTAAACTTGCGTTTCAATGAGTCCAGTTGAATTTTAATCACTGCTGCTTTCACATCCCTTCCTCTGCTCCTCCACCTCCTCCTTCCCTCCCCATGTGAAGCTGTGGAAACACAGCTGGCTTGTCGGTGCTTTAGTTACACTCTCTTACCAAAAATAGCTCACATCGTACTCCCTTCCATGTTCAGGCACTGGTTATAGTTTTGAAGTGAAAGCACTTTTTAAAGGCTCCACCAGAAACAAAAAAAACGAAACAGCTGGTCTTCAGCTTTCAGCTACGAATGATTCTTCTAAGACAGTTTGATCCTCTGTTTGTTTGTTTTTATTTGCATTCATGGTACTTTTCATACATCTTCAAAGAAGGGAATTGTGCCCATTTGAATAAACCCCAAAAGAGGTTTAGTTAAAAAGTATATGGCGACATTACGTCAGGGATGCTGTAAAAAGTCTGCTCTGTTTTTTTGATGTTTAAATTGCAAGTACAGCGGAGGAAAAGGACGGGTTGACTGTTTCCGTGCAGTTATTCATGATTCATGAATATTGATAATAGTGCTTTCACTGAGAATTAATTCGCTGACATTCACAAACTCAGAGGCAACACTAATGAATGAACCTCTGCCTACAGAGAAAACGAAACGATCAGACTTTCAGAGTAGAAAGACAAGAAGCAAACCCTTTTTTTCTTAGGCTACGTCCACGCTGTAGATCTTTATGATAAATTCTTATTTTTTTTTTGTGTTCACACTGTGTCCTTGTGAGTCCTCAGCTAACAGTCCTGATAATTGGCAGCTGTAGAATTATTCTTCCTCTTTGAGTGTTTGCAGTTTCATATTTTTTAAAACCACCTTCTACTTTTGTGCGGACTGCTGAGACACTGTACCACTACGATCCTTACAGCTAAAAGGAAGCGGACCATGTCTGTTCATTTTAGGTTCATTGTTATGCTGATGACGACTGGGTGTTTAAGTTTACGTGTTTAGAATTGAGGACTTTATTAACCGCAACTTCAAATTATTATCATTATCATTTTTATGCTTAAGACAAAGTTTATGCAACAATATTAAGTTTTAAAAAATAGATGATTTAAAAGAAGTACGAGCCTGACGTTTGACTATTATTGGTAAATATTATTAAAACTAGTTTCTTAGGCGTCACAGATGACATGAGGTGAACTTTGTTTACCCACAGTTTAATCAGCCGTCACACTGCTGTAATTACTGCTTATCATAGTCAAAGAACAATCAAGCCGGGCCAAACAATACCCTAAAAAGTTGTTTCTATATCTGGCACATGAGTAATCAATTAAAAGCTTCACATATACAAAGGTTTATTCTTACCGCTGCAAATATAAGGTCAAACCAGGTGTTTATTCCAGACTTACCCACACTGCAAGTCCTAATGTGCGAGTCAGCATATTTTCTTGGATGGTGAATTATTAGACTACAGTTGAAGGTACGCTATGTCTGTCTGCGTCTGCCTCCTGTGCAGATGTTTGACTCATTTGGAACACTTTTTCACCGCAGCTTTTACGACCAATTAACCTTTCCAACTTTCTTAGGTTTTCCACGAGGCCCTTTCATGCCCGTCTACCTTTCTCGCTGCCATCCAGGTGCCAGTATTACTGGACAACAAATCACATC